AGACGGGGGACGGAGTAAGCACCGCAAGCCCTGGAGGCCCTGAGAGCGCTGGATGGAGGCCCTGATAGCCCTGGGCATACACTGGGCGTCCTGGGCACTGAATCTCTGGCATTGAACACTCTCTCATTATTCACGGATCCCAATCTGCCAACACCACCAAGCAGTAAGCCAACGTAGCAACGCAGGTCATTATTGACTGTATCTGGAATCTCTGGCTGCTGGCTTCCTATCAGTGCGTCGTGTCTTTGATGTTCTGCCTGCAGCGACTACGTTTGAGCCAACGAAGCTACGATGTGGCACGACTACAGTCTGACAATGATCTGCTCCACACCATTTATTATTGGGGCTTGAGCTGAGTCCGGTCTATCTAAACATCAGATTTATTCATTCTTTATATATATGGTGGAGAAGTGCTCAATTCGCTAGTCAGGTACCACGTACTACTGCTGCTACTACGGCTCCAACTACCACGGCACACCAAGTCTGCCGTCCTACGAAGTACGAGTCTACGAGTTCTCCGACCTCCACTCGACTCCACTATGAATCTTTACTTCGTCTCACTCGACGAATAATTTACTCTTCCAGTCTTATTATTTGGCGCCGGGCAGTCTGGGCCAGGGCTGTGCAGTGGGCTATCCTGTCCCGTAGGGTGATCTCGAATATCCATCCTTCTTCTCCGTTGCGACTGGCTCTGCTGCGTCAACCTTCATTCTTGCCAATTCTCATCCTCGTTGGCGCGCTTCCGGCGAGTTTCAAGTCTACGCGTGTGCAGACTCCACCAGCAGTTCGCCTGGATTGGGATCGATCGGATGGAATGGAATAATGCGACGGATGATATGGAGTTGAACTTGAACGAACGGTTCTTGAACACGGGCCTCCACAGACTCAGGCACAGACATCGCAGCGCATCGTCCGCAATTGATCCGGTCCCAGAGTCCCAGTCCCCTTCTCCTGTGCCACTGTATCCGTTGCATTGTGATCCCCTCCCAGGGCAAGTCATTGGTCCTGAGACAATATAATATCCAGACCTTGGCTCCAAGCATCAGCCCCCCGGCAATCTCGTTCCCAGTCCAGGCGGCTAAACCAATCCGGGAATCAGTAATACCGAAAGCAAATGATTTCATGCTCTTACGAAGTACCTAATTATGTGGCATCAAGTGGCCAAAATGAGATAGTGATCTGGTCCTTTAAGTTTATCACATCTCCATATGCTATAGAATTAGTGTTTTTTTTATATATACCGAGTAAAGATTCTTCTTACGTATCTCCACTAAGCAAAATAGATTGATTGTCTGCACTATAAAAACCCCAGAAATTGGAATAACATCAAAATTAAAACCAACGAATTACAAACCCCATTCATATCACTAAATTCCTCTTTAATTCCACTCGCTCAAACCAACCTGGTGGGGTTTCCCTTCGTATTATTGGCACAGAGGGGGGGGGGGTTAAGTGGTTCCAACCAGCCTGTAGCGAATTCCAGGTACGTAGTATCTTCAAGAAAAATAGCAAGGACAAATAAATAACCTAAAAGACAAAAGGGAAACAAAATAGACAAAAATAATGTAATCTCTCATCCCCCCGAGGTGGGCTTGCAATTGCGTGATTGATTTAATTTCACATTGGTTATCTCACGACGCGTCTATCCAGGTAGGTACTTACTTACATCACCAACCAACCTCCTGATTGCAGAATAACCGTCAGGCCCGCTAGCCAATTGGAAGATCAGTGATATTAGAAGTGCTTCTCAAAACTACCTATTCGGATAAATATTGGGCTACTTGTTAGATATTCCATCTTTAGTTAGAAGCATTTTCAGGACTCTTGTGGCGCCTGCGTGCGGAGTAGATGTACATTAGGGGTGGAAGTGGCTCACTAGGAGGCGATGACACCATGAAAAGCCACCCAACCAGACTACTGGAGGCCCTCCGAGGCGGTAGTTGTTTCTCGAAATCAGGGAATTCTTACATTTATAAAACTCGCTAGATGTGTTGTCTAGTGGGAGTACCGGTAAGTAGAAACCACTAAACTCAGTGGTGTATCAGAGGATGTCTAGGTTAAGCACTCCGTACAGAGGCCGAGGCCCGCGGATATCCATTCATTGCTATTAGGTAGAATAAACTAGCGGCGGCTGCTCTTATATCGACTTGCGGATAACTCTTGAGAGAGTCTGGATTACAATTGCCTTCCTCTCTTCGACGATGCTAGAGCCCGGTCTAATAACATTTCGTTTTAAATACTTGGCCCGCTGCACCAGGTGTGGCACTCCATGTGTCTTGCACTTTGACTTCGCAAGTTCTGCCTGTTAGAGCCCTCACACATGGCTTTCCGTTGAGACGTTCGATACTCGGGGTCTGATCACCACCAACCCGTTTCGTCGCCGCATCTGGCCACTGCCGCGTGGCCCTAGGTATTTGAATTCCTCAAACAGGAAACCATTGTCCAAATTCGTTCCTGTTGCATCCTAACAAGTGTCGAGCTTGGTTCTGCCCACCCGCTTTCGGTTTCCCCCCAGTGCCGCTAACGGTGACGTATTTCGTGCATAACTTCGTGGTTCCTCACGGGCTGCCCGATGCACTAATTGCCGGTTGATATATTTCGTACGTCTCAGATCAAACATTATCAACCTGTCTTGCCGAGGCAGCACGTCTAACCTGCTGTTCTACCTGCCCGACCCTCCCTTCCAATTCCGCCCAGCTATCTCCACCGCCAAGTATACCCACAGTATACCATCGTTGGATCAGAGCAGCACTCCGCTCCCTCAATTCTGCAATATCCTCATTCTGCGCCGCTTGGAGAGCTCTTAACTTCGCGATTCGCGGATATAACTCGATGAGTTGGATTGAGAGCTCGGCAGGAGGGATCGGGGTGTCAAGTATCGATGTAAGACGGGATGCAGCTGAGGGGTACGAGCTAGCGGATGCTAGAACTATTGATAGGATATTGGTTGTGTCAAGCGTTGTTGGGACTTCGTCGGCGTCGATTTGCTGGAATAAAGCTGGATGTTTTGAATCTAAAAATTGTGAGTGATTGCTCAAGCTTGAAACGTAGAATGGAAGCTACATACGCAGCTTTAGAAGATCTTGGATCACTCTTGAGTTTGATGCAAGCTGATGAAGAGAACGCTCTAGCTGTGAAAGGCGCGTGAGGGCAGAGGCCTGTTGGCTACCATTTGTAGCATCCGGGACATGACCACATACTGCATATTCGATTCTCCGTAACCGCGCTTCAAGAAGGTCGATCGTCTCCGTGGCAGTTTTATCAAAGGTGTTGTCCATATCGCACTGCTGATGTTTAGTAGCACGAGGAAGGCCGAACTTTTGGGTGCAGCTTCAGCTCCAAAGTAAACAAACAGTCCAGTAGTTGTCGGTGTCGGTCTGGAGAATCAATTGGCTTGGCAGGTGTACATTCGTAAGGCTGAGAACCGTTAGGTTGGGGCCACACGTGACCACCCCAGGAAATAGAACGTGCTAAATTGGGGCAATGGTCTAATAATACGGAGTACTTCGTAATGGAACCTCCTCCTGCTATTCTAGACACCACGACTCACGAGAGCACGAAAGATACCCTCGAGGCAGTGTTCAATTCCCCCACAACAAGAGGGTTCTGAACCTCTCGGCTTCTGGGATACTTCACCGCGGTCCTTTATTTTAATTTACATTCCCTCCGCAACGGCCTTGCGCAGCATGATTGAGGACAGATTCAAATTGCCTGCACCGTATTTTGAATTCCAGCCCCCAGACCGTCTTCGAAGAATTACCTCCAACGTCTAGTCCGCCATCTAACGTCCTATCTCACGGACGAATTTTTCAATCTTTAACCTAGGGAGACTCCCCTAAACTAAACCTGCCAAAAGAATCGCACTCGTTTCGTGGAAAGGGAATAGCCGACCAGTAACATGGCTACATACTCCGCCATCCCGGGGTCCAGCGCTGCGGACTCCAGCAGAGGGAGACGGTGAGCACATGGGATATACTGTGACTTTGGCTTTAGCTAATTTTCAAGTTACAGGCGCCGGTCGAGTCGGCTGAAGGACCTGAACTTCGCTGGTCAGGCTTCATGGATAAGCAGCAATATCAACCTTGTTAATACCAGTATGTCCTATACAAATCTCCCTTCACTTACTTTATTCTGATGGATCATCACAGTTATTGGCGCTGGTACACTAGCGATGCCCGTACGTTCGAAATGATACCCGATCCCCCCTTGGAGCGAACAAATAATAACGTCTGATAATGTAGTCGGCAATGTCCCACATGGGTATCATGCTCGGTATCTTCGTTATCGTATGGTCGGGAATGACAGCAGCCTTTGGGTTATATTTACAATCTCGATGTGCCCGATACTTGGATAGGGGAAATGCCTCGTTCTTCGCCCTATCCCAGATCACGTATCCGAATGCCGCTGTGATCTTCGACGCTGCCATCGCCATAAAATGTTTTGGTGTTGGCGTGAGCTATTTGATCATCATTGGTGATCTTATGCCGGGCGTTGTAAGAGGGTTCAATGAAGCGGCCGATGCAACTCCATTTCTTGTGGACCGACAGTTCTGGGTGACCGTGTTTATGTTGGTACCACTCCTCCGCTAGGTGTACTGCCGCTTACACATGTTTTTAGGCTCGTGGTCATTCCGCTGTCCTTTCTGCGTCGTCTTGACTCGCTCAAATACACCAGCATGGTGGCGTTGGTCTCCATTGGCTACCTAGTGATACTCGTCGTGTACCACTTTGTTAAAGGAGACACAATGGCTGATAGGGGCGAAATCAGAGTAATTCAATGGGGTGGTCTTGTCCCCACGCTGCAGAGCTTTCCAGTTATCGTTTTTGCGTACACCTGCCATCAGAATGTAAGGTTCACTACGGTAATAGATGGATCCCGCTAACAGCATAGATGTTTTCTATTTTGAACGAGATCCAGGACAATTCCCACAGACGGTAAACCCCCCTCCCCAGCACGAGTGTGTTACCCTATACTTACATTCTCTGTTTTCAGAACCACGGGCGTTGCTATTGCTAGTATTGGCTCCGCAGCCTCTGTCTATATTCTCGTTGCGATCACGGGTTATCTATCATTTGGCAATAATGTGGCTGGAAATATAGTTGCAATGTGTAAGGATCTCCATCCATATCCTATTGAACATTGGAGCTGAAACATATACAGACGTACCCTCAATTGCTTCGACAATCGCCAAGGCAGCCATCGTCATCCTTGTTATGTTTTCATACCCGCTCCAAGTGCATCCATGCAGAGCTTCTGTTGATGCAGTTTTGAAATGGCGACCTAGTGGCTTTAATAAAGGTGCAAGAAACTCACCCAACACTTCACCCGCAAGATCAGCTCCCTTACTTCCAGGTGCCGTAGCTCAATCCCCGGCAAGAAATGACACTATCAGCGAACTACGTTTCGCTATCATCACGACTGTGATCGTTGTTCTGAGCTACACAGCTGCAATGACCGTCGAATCTCTCGACAAGGTTCTCGCCTACGTTGGTAGTACCGGAAGCACCAGCATAAGCTTCATCTTGCCGGGTCTTTTTTATTATAAGATATCCGCGCCAGAATCGATCCATCATCAAAGACTAACCAAGGAGGATGACGAGGAAGAGCGGGATGATGATGAGAGCTTCAGTGGGGAGACGAGTAGGGAGCCCAAGTATTTTAAGCCGATACTGCGAAAGCTTTCACTTGCTCTGGCCATATATGGTGGTTTCATCATGATACTGTGTTTGGGAACAAATCTGTTCTTTGCCGGTGAGCCAGCGCATAAGGTCTAAAATTCAGCATGTACAATTGGCATTTGGGATACAGCATATTTTGGGCGTTTGAGGCCATCAGGAGTATCATTCACGATCTACGGCAGCATAGCAAGCGAATGAGCAGTTAAGATAATTCTCCATGTACATATATATCAAATACAATGTGTCGATCTTGTTTTACAAAGACAGAACCGCAACGCCTTCACACATAATCCCATGCTGCACTGAGCTTCAAAACGCCCCTGTATGCAATTCCTCTCATATTATACATCGGTTCAATCAATGTGCAATCTTCTCGGTCGTCTCAGGTTGGCTTTCTATTGTTATCTGAGGTTGGTTTTGCGTTGTCGGCTTTGGACGATATTTTGGAATCAACAACCCGGCCTAAAGGAACATATCAGTCAGTATCTTCGTAGTTCATTTCGGTATTTCAGAGCCCTTACCATAGATAATAATCTCCAAGCTGGATCACTAGGCTGAGCGCCTACTCCCAACCAGTATTTCGCGCGCGTGGTATCTAGCTTGATGTCTTTAAACGGCTTTCCCTCACCGTCAATTGGTGGTTTTGGAATCGGGTCGTATGTCCCTATAGATCTGCATTAGACACATCCCATAAACCTACTCATTGCATATGGCATACCTAGGACTTCGATCGGCTTGCTATTCCTGGCGGTCCTGTGGTAGGAGTAGTATTAGAGCCTGTTCGGTCAAGATGATGGGGCTCAGCAAAGGACACAACATACCGAGCTTGTGCAACTACAATGTTGTAGAAAGGCGCTTTGCAGCGCCCGAAGCGGGCTAATCTGATTTTCACGACCATGGTGGATGGGATTGCGAGTTGGGAGTTGCAGCGCGGTGTAATCTGTCGTCGAGGTAGTTCAAGGGACTACACTTTTTTGGTCGCGCGAGCTCTTTCCGCTCCGCTCCGCGCTCCGCTGCGAGACGGGAGTCTTGGCAAAGCGAACAGGTGCCTTTCCCAATGATGTGAGGTGACATCAACGCCAGACAACCATCAAAGTGTAATTATTTATCAAGTGATTACGATTTTCCAACCTGAAATCAGTTGGGATTTACAGTTACGCTTGTACTTCCCTTTGACATCATATTTCGTCTGCCTAGCTATTTTATCCATCATCTCGTCCATAGACGCTGGTACAAGCTGATATATCCCAATACGTCGGAAGAAATGGCGATGAAGGTGCGCGTTAAATTAATCTAGCCCTTTTATCGAGTAGATATTGGATAATAGCTAAATAATACAAGACTCTCTCCGCCAAAAATGCAGCAGCTCTAGACAAAGATCTCATGAGCATCGGGGGATTCTCGCTTGATCAGCTCATGGAACTCGCAGGTCTCAGTGTCTCGCAAGCCGGTTCGGATCTCTGCATTTTTCTTTTGATGATTTCATATGGCTGAGGTTTACTTACAGTTTATCGTCTTAAATCACCAATTGGAGGACGGCGTATCCTGGTTGTCTGTGGTCCGGGAAATAATGGTAAGTCAATTGCTTTGGAATGTGATGAATGGGTGGTGGATGAGATTGGTATTTTCTGATAAGAGAAAGGTGGCGATGGACTTGTTGCCGCCAGGCATCTTTGGCATTATGGATATAAGCCGGTGATATATTATCCGAAACCGGGCAAGAACGAGCTGTATGGGGTATGTTATCCTATATACGCATCAGTTATTCCGAGAAGCATCTTCTTCTCCTTCCCCTCCTGGGGTCATAACTTCGTACAACTATGCTTCTAACACCTTCCAGCGCCTCACAACCCAGCTTAAAAACCTAAAAATCCCTTTTACCACCGACTTCGCCGCCGCCCTTAAAGAAGCTGATCAGGTCGTCGATGCAATCTTCGGTTTGTCTCCCCTTTTCTCGTCCTCCTTCCCTCCCGGATCCCATCTAACCTACAAACTTCAATACAGGCTTCTCTTTCTCCGGCGAAGTCCGCGAGCCCTTTTCCGCCATCATAGAGGAGCTTCAGAACACCACCGTCCCCGTGACATCCGTCGATGCTCCTTCATCCTGGAATATTGAAGAAGGGCCTCCATCGTCCGGTCCAGGGTCGAGCTTCAATCCTACCGCGCTAGTAAGCTTGACGGCGCCAAAGCCATTGACAAAATGGTTTAGAGGACGACACTTTTTGGGCGGAAGGTATGTTGGTCGGTCCTCATAACTCTTCCTACCATTGTCGTAATTGCCAAGAGGGGTCATTTAGATATTAACCCGTGTGAAATAGATTCTTGAGCCCGGATATTGCACACAAATATGGCCTGGAATTGCCGGACTACGATGGTGTGGATCAGATTGTGGAACTAGGGAGCGATGGAAAGAAGAAGTTGTAAATAGTCGTATCACAACCCAGCCAAAATGCAAAAGGGAAGGCGCCTAGGTTTAGTGGGAGTAATAGAGGTATATCATAAGAACAAGTTCCTCAAGGTGAAATATAGCACCAACTCAGCCTAACAAAAATATAAGTAATACACAATGTATATGTTCCTTATCAATAGAGAAATATCTAACCAGACTATGACCTACAATAAAGTGCTGATTATATGATAGCTTATCACCTTTCTCTCGACTCTCCATCCCTATCCTATATAAATCAAAATAAGCGATTTTGGTATTTTAAGGAAGACAAAAGGTGGCCACTTGGCTAGGTGGTTTGGATCAAATTGTCTTCTGGAGAGGATCGATAGGCCCCAAAAAATGACAACAACGACAAAACGAAAAACCGGCAAGAGATGTAGGCATTCGACACCGGGCTGAACTCTTTTTGCTCCTGGGGTGTCTGATAATGTTATATATTTTTATAATGTTTTTTCCAGCCTTTTTGCAAGGGAGTATATATAATGAGGGTTTTCTCCCGGCTTCACTTGTTATGGGGCGTGACGGTTGTGGAGAAGGCGGCGAGAGAGCTTAACTGCGTATTTAGTTTCACCATTGTGTTTATATTGTGTATCTAAAGTGCGTGTTTGTATTCTGACTTACTTTAGATGCTGAGATTAGAGGGACTCATAGCATTTACCGCTTAATGCTTTACTCATGTATCGAGACATATCAGTCAGTTATCAAAGGTGATAGTTAAATATCCCAAGGGTAAGATTTAGATTCCATCACTCTAAACACCGGAGACTCTAGTCATACATTCATCATCCAATCCCCAGCTCCCAAATTCTCATCATGCATCATCAAAACTTGTAGAAGGCCTTGCCCATCGATATATTGGTTCTGCTATATGCGGATCCTGAAACTGGCCTTGAGACGCCAAATCTAGTTCAGGAATCAGGGCTGGTTTCTTCAAAAAGCACAAGTACCGTTCCCGCTTTGCAAATATCCTATTCAAGATTAGTATCAATACTTGTAATTGCGGAATGGAGCTCATCATACTCCTTCTTTATGCACGAGTTTAGCAACCACGCCCTGCTGTGGGGATCTGATTACCGTTTCCATCTTCATGCTTTCAATGCTATTCAGAAGTTAGATATGGAAAAATCAAGAGATAGTGGTAGTAGCTGCAAACAGAACTTACACAACCAAGGCCTGATCTTTCTGGACCTCATCTCCCTCCTTGACCTCATTCCTTAGCACTTTGCACGGCATTGGTGCAAGAACGCTATTTGTCACGTCTTTGAGCCCGAGGGCTTTCTCATACCATGACGGAGTTGATAGTAGTAATTGTGTTTGCTTGCCTCGTTGGAAGATGGCGAGTTTGTCGCCGTCAATTATTATGGTGCTTTCAATTCTCGTATGAGGGAAGAACGTTGAGATAGAAGAGCGGCTCTTCCCCTCACAGACCACATTGGTATATGATTCCTCTATTGCCGGACTTTTCACTGCAACATTGTATAAATTGTTGCCAATCTGATCAACATCAACAAGGAATGGTTGGGATTTGGGATCACTGGATGGGAGGAACGTGAACTGCCGCTTGTTGCTCGCATTAAAGCCCACAGATTCTCCGTGGGGTCCTCCCGGATAGCTTGCTCCTCTATCCGAGCACTCCTGTGCAAGAATACCCAATGCAGCCTGAACGACTATCGTTGGCTCAACCGTCTCAGGAAGAAACAACTCCTCTTTGTATTTTTCGATATATCCGGTTTCCACATCTCCTTTCATGAAAGCAGGACTTTTGCAGATTCTCTTTAGGAACTCGATGTTCGTATTTAAGCCAACAACTTCGTATTCTTGTAGCGCAGCATCTAGCTTCCGGAGCGCTACTTCTCTTGTTGGGCCGCTGACAATAAGCTTTGCAATCATACCGTCGTAGGCTGATGAGATAGTGTCACCTTGGATAAACCCAGCATCAATCCGGACACTATCTGATATCTCAGGGGTTCGAAGGTGGATGAGCTTGCCGGAATCAGGCATGAAGTTTTGGGCCGGGTTCTCAGCATAGATACGAGCTTCGATGGCCCATCCGCGCTCTGATATTCGTTTGGCGATGGTATCTTGGTCTAAAGGAAGTGGCTCGCCCGCAGCGACTTTGAATTGCCATGAGACGAGATCCTCCCCGGTGATAGCTTCAGTCACAGGGTGCTCGACTTGAAGCCTAGTGTTCATTTCCATGAAGAAGAATTCGTTTGTAGCATTGTCGAAAATAACTATTTATAATGTTAGAAGTCTGAGCGGTTTCTGGTTGGGGGATGCCTTACACTCTACAGTTCCCGCTCCTTCATAGCCTACTGCCAGAGCAGCAGCCCTGGCCTTCTCCCACAATTCTTGTCTGATATTCTCCGCTAGATTTGGAGCTGGTGCTTCCTCAACAATCTTCTGATGCCTTCTCTGAAGACTGCAATCTCGCTCCCCCAAAGCCACCGCATTTCCGTGCTTATCCGCAAATACCTGGACCTCAATATGCCGCGGAGTAGCAATATACTTCTCAATCAGCATCTCATCATCCCCAAAAGAATTCCTGCCTTCGCTTTTTGCGCTTTCCAGTTTACTCAGAAACTCGCCTTCATTTAACGCAATCCGCATTCCTTTCCCACCTCCACCCTTCACGGCTTTCACCATGACAGGGAAATTAATCTTCTTAGCCTCCTCCAAAAGATATGCAGGATCTTGGTTCTTCCCATGGTAGCCCGGTATGCAGGGCACTCCAGCTGCAATCATAATCTCTTTACTCCTCGACTTATTCCCCATAGCCTCGATAGCCTTCCATGGCGGCCCAATAAACACCAACCCTTCCTCAACGCATCTCTTAGCAAAGGCTGAATTCTCACTGAGAAATCCATAGCCGGGATGTAAGGCCTCACAGCCCTGTTCCTTTGCAACTGAGATAATGCGTTCCCCATCTAAGTATGCATTCGGCGCGCCTAGGTTCACAGAGAAGGGACTCGAGAGCGCATGTTGGGAATGCGAATCTGGATCGGTGTAAATCGTCGTACATCGAACACCAAGTGCGGCGGCCGTCCGGCCTACTCGTAGAGCTATTTCGCCACGGTTGGCTATAAGAACGGAGGCAATTGGGGAGGAGACGGAAGCTGAGGAGCTTGGGGTTGAGAGATAGCGGGATTGAGGGGCAGTGGCAGTAGCAGCAAAGACACGACGGGCAATTGCCCGCGATCTAGAAGCTGGCAGCATTAGGACGGCATGAAGTTTGGAATAATTATACGTAGTATCGTCAGAGGCAATTAAATTGTAGGAGCAAGAGAGATCTCTCGCTCTTGATGGACGATTGTTGACACTACGGAGTCCATTGAGTCCAGTGACGATCTCGAGCTGGAAGTCGAGGAACAATAACGCCGATTGTAACCGCTCTCCGTTGATGCGGGTTAACTTATTAACTTGCCGAGGTTCCCCGCCGCCTTTTCCTTTCCCCTGTATAAGTATTTTTGTTAGTTCCCCTAGTTTTCCCCTCGCAGCGGATAAGAAAGCGGTCGCTACTTAGGTACTTTTCCAGCGTCATACATGTACTTGGAGCGCGTTCAAGTTATCTCGGGAGTTGAGATTGGAGGCTCTAGAAAGTATATTTTTCATGCCGATTACTCTAAGTATAGAAGTCACTTTAATTATATTTAGTAAGTCATTACTTACTGTACTAGGCTGTTATTAATTTATGAGAAAGTAAATCAGAGAAGAGGGAGGGGCAAAGCGGCAGATGCCTATATGGATATATAGTTAAAATTGTGGCATATTATATCATGGCTACTCTACATTCTAAAAACTCCAAATTTCGTAGCAACCGGTTCATTCTTCCCGCCCAAAGCAGCCATCAAACCCAATCCGAGTACTCTCCGTGTCTGGCTCGGGGGTATAACGCCATCATCCTATTGTTGTTAGCCAAGCTCTGTATTATAAGTTGTCCAACACGATCACTTACCCATAATCTGGCAGATGAGAAAACTGCCTCACTCTCCGTCTCAATTCTCGCCTTGAGTTCTGGATCTACTGCTTTCCCAACAGTTTCCATAACGGCCGTCAATTGCTCTGAGCCCATTACACCAATCTTCGCATTCGGCCACATCCACAAGAATCTCGGACCGTAAGCCCTCCCACACATTCCGTAATTCCCAGCACCATTACTTGCTCCGACGACAACGGTGAACTTTGGTACGTTGGCGCATGCAACAGCAGTCACAAGCTTCGCTCCGTTTTTTGCAATGCCTTCCCTCTCGGCATCAGTGCCAACCATAAAGCCACTGATGTTTTGAAGGAATATTAGGGGTATTTGCCGTTGGCAGCATAGCTCAATAAAATGAGCACCTTTCAGGGACGAGGTGCTAAATAGAATCCCATTGTTGGCAATAATACCAACTTTGTGGCCATAAATATGTGCAAACCCTGTGACAAGCGTGCTTCCATAGTCGCGCTTGAACTCTGAAAACACACTACCGTCCACAATTCGTGCTATTATCTCATGGATTGGGAGAGGTCGTCGCAGATTCGTGCTGGCAATGCCGATAAGCTCTTCCGGGTCGTGCAAAGGCTCTTGATATGTCGAGGGAGGAGGGAATTGCTTTTTCGGCCAATTGAGATTGCTGATAGATCTCCTGGCAAGGACAAGAGCATGGGCATCGTCTACAGCTAGGTAATCTGTCACCCCGGAGACGGATGAGTGCATTTTCCCGCCACCAAGTTCTTCTGCGCTCACAACTTCGCCAGTTGCTGCCTTGACTAGTGGAGGGCCGGCGAGGAAGATATGGCCTTGCTCTCCGACAATGATACTTTCGTCAGACATCGCTGGGACGTATGCACCACCGGCGGTACACGGTCCCATTACAACGGAGATCTGAGGTACTCCCATGGAGCTCATCCTCGCCTGGTTATAGAAGATACGCCCAAAGTGTTCGCGATCGGGGAAGACATCAGCTTGATGTGGAAGGTTGGCGCCGCCGGAATCGACTAGATATACACAACTACATAAGTTAGCTACTAGGACTAGTAGAAAAGCCTAGACACGCAAAAGAGCTTATAAAACATAATATGATAGAACAAGAAAGCTATACTCACGGTAAGTTATTCTCCTGTGCAATCGCCTGGGCCCTCAAATGCTTCTTCACGGTAATGGGATAATAAGTGCCACCCTTGACCGTGGAATCATTGGCAACAATCATGCAAGTGACACCCTCAATCACCCCTACGCCGGTGATAATGCCCCCAGCAGGAACCTCCGCTTCGGGATACACTTCATGGCCAGCAAGAGGAGACAGCTCCAAGAACGATGTCCCAGGATCAACCAATGCCGTAACCCGGTCTCTGGGAAGCATCTTCTTCCTCGCGATGTGCTTATCTCGTGCCTTTGGAGGACCGCCTTGATGTATCTTCTTCGTCAACTCCTCGAGACGTGCCATAACTTCTCCCATTTGTTTTGCATTTTCCCTATATCCTTCGGACGATGGATCGACAAGTGACGGTAAAACTGATATGGCATTGGCCTGGCTGGGCAGGCTATGTGTTGCAACACCGCGGGATGCAGATGCAGTACAGAGGGGGAGGCTCGTAGGAAAGGGTCCAGGTTTCGCAATGCGTCGAGAGAGTCGGCAAGCTCCTTGAGAAGCACGAAACGCCGACATGGTAAAGATTATAGATGTTGCTGTTGCTGTTGCAATTGCAGTTGCAACGGCGAATGTGTTGGATCTCTACATGAATTATTCATGTTGACTCCGGAGAGCATCCCGTAGCTTGGTGGCATTGAGGTTCGGGAGGGACGGCCAGCCACGGCTTAAGCGGGGAAGGGCGCGTTCGGCGATTCGGCCTGGTAGGAGCTTTAGAATGTGGGGTAGTGGCAGGGGTTAAACAGCTCCCTCCTTCTTAAGCCGCTGATGCTTTTTCAAAGGCAATTGCAAAGTAAACATCGCCATGTGAGCCTGCTTTATCTGGTGCATTACTTATCACGATCGTACTTTTGCTTATTATATATACACTTTTGGAATATGGCGACGGTGAAGTGTTTCCGGTCCCTGGCCGCCCGTCCATGTCTCCCAATTCCATTCGCAGCCCAGCGGTTGGCACCCTCCACCTCTATATCCCGGCGGAATGCCTCCTCAAAACATCCCAAGGGCTTTGAGGCCCCGACCTCGAGCGATCTCGCAGAGCTTCGAGAGCGTGTGCAGGAGTTTACTCGGCGTGAGATAACTGAAGAAGTGGCGTCGAAGACGGACAAGTCGAACGCTTTCCCGAACGAGATGTGGCCTAAGCTAGGAGAGGCAGGTTTCTTGGGGATAACGGCCGATGAAGACGTCGGTGGTATGGCTATGGGGTATCAAGCACATTGTATTGTTCTAGAAGAGATCTCTAGGGCATCCGGGTCAATTGGCCTAAGCTACGCGGCACATTCCCAACTTTGCGTCAATCAGTTACAGCTGAACGGCAGCCCAGAGCAAAAGAAGAAATTCATGCCTGGTCTGATTGCTGGGACGAGTATTGGGGCTTTGGCGATGTCCGAAAGTGGAGCGGGAAGTGATGTTGTTAGCATGAGAACCACAGCGAAGAAGGTTGATGGAGGATATGTGCTCAATGGCACTAAGATGTGGATCACCAATGGCCCCGACGCGGATGTTATTGTGGTATATGCGAAGACGGAGCCAGATGCTGGATCCAAGGGCATTACTGCTTTCATCGTTGAGAAAAAGTCCGAGGGATTTAGCTGTGCAAGGAAGCTGGATAAGATGGGTATGCGCGGGAGCAACACCGGCGAGCTGGTCTTTGACGGGGTATTTGTGCCCGAAGAGAACATCTTGGGACAGGTCAACCGTGGAGTCAAGGTACTAATGGAAGGCCTCGACCTCGAACGTCTGGTTTTAAGTGCCGGCCCACTTGGAATCATGCAAGCTACTTTGGACGTCGCTCTCCCATTTACACACCAGAGGAAGCAGTTCGGTGTTCCAATCGCACACAACCAGCTTGTCCAGGGGAAGCTTGCAGACATGTACACAAAGCTGCAAGCTTCGAGAGCGTATACGTATGATACTGCTAAGAAAGTTGATGAGCTTGGCCAGGTTCGTACACAGGACTGTGCTGGTGCTATTCTCTATGCTGCGGAAAGAGCCACGGAGTGCACATTGGATTGCATCCAGCTACTTGGCGGGATGGGATATGTCGAGGAAATGCCAGCATCAAGACTACTACGAGAGTGAGTCTCCCACTGATTGCTCCCCAAATATTTTACTAAGTCTCGCCAGTGCCAAACTGTACGAGATTGGGGCGGGCACGAGTGAGATACGCAGAATGGTCTTGGGCAGGGTAAGTCCTCTCCTTTTTTCCCGCCCTTTTCCCTTTATAATAACAATACTGACATATCCCTAGGCTTTTAACAAAGAATACGCAAATCTAGGCTTATAATAAGGCTAAGGAATAATTGCCAGCATGCTTGGATGTAGGGTGTGTATACGTATTTTGGCGCCTGGATAGAAATATATTCAATGAAAATATATGAACACTACTGTGTTACGTGCAATATAAAATACTTCTTCGATCCTAAGAAAACATGATTTCCAAAATTAGGTGGACGAAGAAGGTGGAACTTGGCTAGAATTGCAATAGGCATGAAAGGAATATAGATAGACGACATCTAGAAGAGGTAACCTGCAAGAACTTATGTTTAGGGCAAATACCTACCTAGGTAGTTTGGAATGGTTGTATATAAGACCTAGAACTATCGATTCGATGAATACAAAAACAGTTCCTACCCACTATCAACAGCACAAGCCCAAATGGCCAATACCACACCTTCCTAATACTATCTTACACGCTCACATAAACCCCCTCAATTCCTTGTCAAATCTTAGATTGTTTCATCTGATAAATTAACTTTCAAGTAGGGTGGGTATAAGCGTTATTCACATTTCCCCTAAGCGCCTTTTTTGCCACATATATATGCCTACCACCTGAACCGACCGGGTTGGTACCACCAATTAAACACCCCCCCTCTAGAAATCATACAAACTCGTGTTGCCACTTGACAAGCTGCCTCGTGAGGACATCCATCATTTCCAAGCACGTAAGGTCCTTGAAATCCTTGTTGGAGCCTTCTTCAGCTTGGCCGCCTTCAGATTCCTGGCCCTTCTTGCCATTGACCTTTATCATAGGTAGCCCGTCTGCGATGCCGCGGATTGTCCTCTCAGCCGCATCAGCGCTGTCTCGAGACATTGATTCACCGGCCATTTCGAGCTGCGTTCTGGAGATAAAATCGAGAATGGTCGCTACGCGTTTCCTCATATCTCCCATCGTGATTTTGCTGCCGCTGTTCCTAGACTTGCCGGATTTGCCCTCATTTGGGCCCTTGTTACCCGGGCCGTGTCCGCTATCGTCTCCTCTGCCTATATCTCTGGATTGTGACCGGTGTGGAGACTGGTCATCCCCGTCTTGTAGGTCTCGGTCTTTTGTGTATTGGTTCTTCCCCAACTTCCCTTTTCGAGAATTTGGTGGTCTACCGCCTTTCCTGACCTGGGGTAGATTCGGAGGTGGTGTGTCGGGTGTTGCAACTTGAGGTGACGTTGGTGGATCTAGAGGTTGGGCAGCGGCCTCTGTGACTCTATTTGAGACCGATCTTGCGGCAAGTGGTAATTCTTCTGAAGGATCTGAATCTGTGATTTAAAAGTATAAGCAGCGCCCCCATCAATTAATTTGCGATGAAACCCACCGTCAACCCGCCGACGCTCAGCACGACCTTTCCTCTTATTTGCGGCCTCTTGCCGTGTTCTCTCTCGTTCTTCCCTCATTTCCTTTTCCCGGTGATTTCGGGCGGCCGCTCCTCTTATCTTCCTTGCGCCTGTCTGCCGTCCATTTGTACCATCGTCAGAGTCAGCTAGTGGGGTTTGTTGTAGTTCGCGAGAAGGCGAGGGTGACGCGGATAAGGTTCTCTGCCTCTTGATGCCTTCGTGCTTTCTGTAGCAGTGTCAACTTGGTTTCTCTTAGACACGAAGGAGAAAAGGAAACCTATGGCTGCTTACTCTTCGCTATCGCTACGTTCTCGTTTACTACGTCGTATTTCGGTTCCGCCATCTGTACTTTCACCACTCTTTCCCCCTTTGCTTGCCTCTATTGCGCGTCGCAATTGTTCTTCTTCGTCATACGCAGCATCCCTACTATTCATTGTAGATCTTCGCTTTGCGGCGCTTTGAAGGCTCGAAGAGGGCCGACCGCTTTTGCTGCCTCGTGGGGACCGAGTGCCATCTTTCGAAAAGGAGGCGGCGCGGGAGGTAGTTTGTGACAGACTCTGGTATAGTGGGAGATAGTGGGAATACCGTTGCCTGCGTCCCATCATATTAGCAACTGAATTTTCATAAATTGTTGTAAGAAGTAAAGTTTATCGCGCGACGTTTCGCTGAATCTGAAGCAGACAGCCTTGTGAGACTTGATCTGCGCCACGTTCTCGCGTGGGAGCTGACAGCTCGATGAATCGACAAGGAGAGGGATTTTTGATTTATATCGAACAAATTGAGAGGAGCATACCCATTTGGAGCGGCGAAGATCTTGTGTAAGTCTGGGCGACATAATTCGCAGAAGTACTCGTCCGGGCTCATGTCTTCGTTCATGATCCCAACACAGTATCCATGCTGCCAGACTTTGCAGACGTCGCATTGTAAGAAGAAGCCAGCCCCATCCTCAGTCACATCTGCGACTGTAATTATAGGCTCTTCAATTCCATCCTTTATGCCATGCTTGCTGTCTTCCTCGCCAAGCTGTGGCGGTCCTGGGTACTCGTCGAATCCGCAAATGCAGCGGACGGCCTCATCATCGTCGGCGTTCTCGTCGATGCCATTTGTAATTTCGGTTTGAGCTGTCTGCGGCTTGGAAGGCTTTTCTCTCTCCTCGCCGCGACTGCGTTTTCGGCGTGTTTGGATGGCGTCCTCCGCGGGGTTCGCGATGGCATCATCTGGCGGTTCCGAGGAGGGCGAGCCCGAGGGCGTCAGTTTTCGCGGTGACTCTGTCTTATGGTTTGATCGGGTAGCCCGATCGGCGCGACTGGAGGAATTCGAGGAGGCAGAGGAGTGGTGTGAAGTCGATTGTAGAGGCTGGCTCGGCCGAGAAGCCCTCGATGAGCGCCGAGCTGTATCCATTCTCGGCCAGCGTGCAGCGTAGAGGATGTAATTCCACCCCAGGAACCTGACGCCCTAACGATCCTCGAACAGATGCGCGCAGAAAGGAGCCGAATTGAGGTTGAGGACGACGCCGCAAGGCGGGTGGAGGCAAGTTCGAGTGAAGCCTCTGCTGGAGTCGCGGTGCCAGCGACGCTCCCACGAGGGACGAGGTAGCGACAGAGCTTCGAATTGAGTTGAAAGAAGAGCTCGCGATCTTAGAGGGAAGACGAGGAATTGGCGATCTGCGAGCGGAAGAATAGGGAGCTTGGAGCAATCATGGTCGTGGTGGAGTGGGCGAGGGAGCGTCTTGGGGGGAGGGGAGGAAATAATAAGTTCGGGAGCAAGAGACGAGCAAGAGAGCCACTCACTCAGATCAGAGACTCCGCTGCGCTGCGCTGCGCTGCTCTCCACTGGTCACTGGTCACTGGTCACTCAGGCTCCTCGAGCTGTCCGCGGTGGAATTCGATTGATTCGCCCCGATTGCCCCCCGCTCGGCAGTTCCTGGGCGGGAGCACGTGATGCTGATATCCACGTGATGCTGGTGCTGTATCACTCCGAGGATTATTAAGGATTGCCGATTATTAATAAAAATCACGGGGAAACTACGGTGTTCCGGTGCGCAGGGTAGGGTTACGGCACGCTCTAGTACGTACCACAGGTACCTGCTACCAACTCACCGAACTGTAAACGGGTGCCGAAACGAAGTATCCTGTACCTAAAACAACCACCGTGATTGGGACCGATTCGAAATTCGATTGCTGCCACGAGACACCACCCACAACACCACGACCACAACCACATCGACATTGCACCGCTCAACCACCACGGCAACATCCCCAGGTCCCTCCTTTTGCAGTCTTCTTGCGGCCATTGACGGTCCCCTTTTCTGAATCCCTTACTTTTGCCTGCCAGCCCCTGCGTTCCACCCTTCGCCCCGGCGGGTTGTGCACCGCTCTCGCTTTGCAGTGCTCACCAACTCAGAGAATCCGTACGTCCCTATACCTGTGCGTCCCCAACACCGCCCCCTTGCCCGATCCTCGGCAGCTTGGGTCGCTGCTCTCTCCGGTCGAGACTGTATGCTGCTGCATGGTGAATAGGAAGGCGAATCGAGGCGGCATAGATTCCGAGCGGACTTGGGCTGATCTGTAATTTTACAGGCACAGGAAGATAGGGGGCATCCGGAAAAGCAACTTGGAATCTTTCTCGGACCGGCTTAGATCCAGAATCAGCATACGCTCGTCGACATCTAGTAGCAGTCTTGCAAGGAGGGTTAGGATTTGTTGGTCGGCATTCTTGCCATGTCTTCGTCAGTGATGGGTATGCAGCTTTCCCCATCGGCGTCCCTTCCTCTTGCCACCTCGAAGCACGTGTGAAAAATAGTCCTTCGTACACCTACGATGATCCCTTCGTATTTGCTCTTATACTGCAGCGGCTGACCTGTTATGGGTTAACTACTAGGCTACTCCCCCGAATTGCCACGAGACATGTCCCCGGATGCCACTTCTCCCTATCCAGACCGGCCGATTCGGCCGCTGCCCAAGCGTCCTCTTCGTGAGCGGCTGTCACCAGATGTGGCCGAATCGATAAGATACCCACCGGCGCCAAAAACCACCACTCCACTGTTCTACCATCCCTACAATGGACGCGAAGATGCTGGGACAAATGGATTGGTAGAATCCCAACATCCTAGTGAGAGGGAGAGAGCAGAGGAGATGGAGCGAGGGTATATCACCAGGAAGTGTGGAGATGAGTTGGACAGTGATGAGGACGAAGCGGCGTATCGAAGCCGAACATATTCGAGACATTCCGAGACTGCCACTGGGCGATCCTACCGATACGTTCAAAAGCCCGACTCGAAGAACCCAAATCCGCACCCTCCCGGATCCACTGCGTCATCAGCGGATAGCTACGACTCTTTCGAGAACACAAACAACAAGAAAAAGCGCAAGATCCCTACACCGGGCGACTCCAATCTCAATGGCAGCCATCTGTCTAGTGATTTAGCGGGAATGGGAATCTCAAATCCTGATGACACAGTGGATGATGGTGGTGGTAATGTGGGAGCATATTATAGCCCGGGAAGCGCGGCCTCGCAAGGACTCTCTGGACCGGGAAGGGGTAGATATGGACGTATCCGAAATGGTAGAAGTCCTCTGAGAACCTTGTCAGATTCAGCAAACTGGAGCAACGGACGCACAACTAAGCAAAGACAGCCTCAATGGCCAACGTCTAGTAAGTCCCATTTGGTCTAGTTTCCGTTGTTGGGCTAACAAGGTTGTTCTAGCCGAAACCCCAGGAATCATCTCAAGATCCATCGCGGATGCGAATGCTGACAAAAACCCCATTACTCCTGCAAGAGGCCAAGAGAATATCAGTTTATTACAACAACAAGCCTCCAAAAAACCGACCCCAGCGCCAACCCAGTTTACCTTTACGTGTGATTCGCAAGTGTCAGGGACGGTTGCTTGGCCTGGTCCAACCACTTCTGCTCCTCTCCACCAAGGCCCAGGTACTGCTAGAATGAGTACTCATGCTACCCAGACAAGCCCCAATATACCTGCAAGCCACGGTACACCCGCTGCCATGACACAGGCAAAGCAAGGTCTTTCTGCATCGCAACACCAGAACGCCGGCCAGAAGGAGAACCAAGCTCAACCTGCACCTACGAAGAAGAATCGTCGCCGGACTGCTGAGAAGGAATACGTAGCTGCGGCTCGGCAGCGTCGACAACAGCAGGAATTCCGAAATTATCACCATCCTCCTGCTCCAGAAGATGTTTGGATCTGCGAGTTCTGCGAGTATGAACGCATATTTGGCACACCACCCACTGCTCTCATCAGGCAGTATGAGATCAAGGACAGACGGATTAGGAAACAGGAAGCGGAGCGGCGGAGATTGTTGGAAAAGGCAAAGATGAAGGGACGTAAGGGAAAGAAGGGAAGCAAAGTTGCTGCGAAGACGGCATCCGCAGCACAAGATCGGCAGGGCTCACACCAGCCTGCTCAGCACGCCCCTTCGATGAACCAGAGCCACAGTCAGGGGACGCAGAGCGAGGAGTACTACGAGGATGAATATGATGATGAGTACGCCCAGGACGACCCTCCACCGCCATCGCCGGCAGCACCCGCAACTCGCCGACCCGATGTCGTACATCACGGCCCCATGAAGCATGCAGTCCCTACTGGCGTTGGCGGCAACGGAATCCCGGTATCTTGAGGCCGCCATCCGTTCTTAACTTGGGCAAAGCTGGGGGTTCCAATACACCTATACAGAGCCTCTCACAACAACAATATCTCTAAGCACTCGAAGAATTTCATTCCGACAAATCACACCAGAGGCTCCAAGCGACAAGAGGTACGGGATCTCAGCACCATGACAACACTACTTTCCTACGTCTTTTCCGAACATCGTCTAGCATTGCATAGAGCGGTCCCCCGAACATCTGCGATGCACCACTGCCCCAACATTACCCATTCCCTTGTAATATTGTTTCGTTCTCCTACTTCTCCCCTCATAAACGCATGCATAGGTCCGGCAGATAGACTCAACTCGGCCTCGGTGTTATTTGGTCTACCAGCTGTCAGGCTGGTAGAAAGGGTTCTTGAGAATCAGCTCGGACTGCACATTCAACAGGTGGTAGTTAGTCCTGGCTCACAAATATATCCTCCCATAAGTGTCTTCTCTGCAGTTCGTCTTGGTGATATTGTTTCGAGGGTGCTAGATGCCTTGTAGTGCTGGATGATGTAATATGGGTTTACTCAGGGTAACATAAGGCATTATATCTTCTTAGCCTATGCTAGGGATGCCCATCTACTCGAAATGCCCACTTGAAGAACATCTCATCCCCTCCACCTCCCACACCCTCACCCACGCAATAACTCTACCGAATTCCTGCATCTGCACCCCCGTGCCCCAACCCCAATAAGTCAAGTGAGGCTCTGCAAATAGACCCGAAACCCCAGGTCCCCAAGCCAAATAACCATATAGAACTGCATTAGCCATAGCACACAGATACAGCCACCAAATTATTTATATAAATCTGGAGTCTGTTTATAGTTTGGAAATTCGGGGGAGGGCCGGAGGTGGTTCAGAAAACAGGAGGCGGTCAAGAGCCACGTCAAATTATACCTAGAGGGGTAATATAGGAAGGTATGCCGGCCGGGTATAATACTGCCTACATACCTAGGTACTGAGTAAGCTGTAGCTGGATGATGCAGGAAGGTCTGCCGGGTATAATCCTGCCTAGGTAGATAGGTACCTATAGGTACCTTCGAGAGAAGTTATGGAGTTTTGGTAAGAAGATAGCGACGACGAAAAGGCCATGAAGCCATCTACTCTCTGGAGTGGAGACGAATTTGATGCGCGTACATATTATCTACAGCACCTAACGACAAAGATAATATATCTATCTACTTTACCTACGTACTGCGGTTGCCCATAATCCCAATCTCAAGATATTGCATGCCGGCCATTCATGATATTCCTCCTAAAACTGCACAACCCCCTAATTTGTAGCGTAGGATCGGATCTCTTCGACTTCGACAGAGAAAGAATTTCCCCCCCAACACAAGATAAAAAACGCCATCCATGCACGCAACGCTTGAGCACCCCGATGTAATTCCTCCCATCCCATCCCCTCCCTAGTATTTCCTTCACGTGCGAAGTATAGGTTTTAGGCTCTCAAGCGGCCCCGTTTAGGACGACACCTGGGACCTGCGCTGTGGCCGACGTGTCAGCGGCGATAGCGTCCGCTTGTTGCACTACGCCTTGCACGATGTTCTGTTCTTCGGGGCTGAGATTGCTGGTAAGAGATCCGTAGAGTTGAGGTTGTTCTCCCTGGAGTTCTAGGAAATATTAGTACAGTGTGCAGAGCTAACCCCACCAAAAACTTACTGAGAAGGGCGTTCTTGAAGAGTTGGTAGGGTTCTATCTTGTCAAGTGGAGTTTCGAGGAGACTCTCTTCGCCTAATTCGTCATCCGAGTCATTGTCCTCCAGATTTTGAAACTTCTGTGCCTAGGGTACACTTAGCATTAAGAAGTTAGGAACATGCGGCTCACTTACCTCTTCGTTTAGGAATTCCAGATAGGCGGTGCTCTCATCCTTGGCGTCGGCCTCCTCCTCAGGCTCTCCCTCGTCGTTCCATGCATTATCATCACCAGCCCATTGTTCATCGTCGTCATCATCATATGCTGAGTCCTCAAGAGGGAAATCCTCCTTAAGAACTTCATCACGCTCTAGATTGGAGTTAGTGCTATGCCCTTAGAAACCCCCTCCAGAAACTTACTTTTCTGAGCGTTAGGTAATGTCTGGAATAATCGAACAATCCCTTGTAACAACCTAGGCCACCCGGTTTGAACGCTGGGGGGAACTTGGTCGACGTTGAGCGTAAGCAGAGCGACGATAGCAGCGATAGATAACTTCTTATCGTGGACTCTTGTAAAGCTGTCGATGCTAGAGAACCACAGACTGAAGAATTTGTTGGTCCATCCATTTGTTTCCAGAACGTGAAGCGCAAGCACCTAGGGTACTATATCAGAAACGTAAATTTGACCACACAGTCTATATTACGTACCGGATTATAGTAGATGGCATTAATAACCATCTCCATAAGGTGAATTTTATAGGACTTGACTTTGACATCAGTATTCGTCAGAATCCGCATTGCCATTTCAACCTACGAATGTGTTAGTCATAATCAGGTTAATCCTTTTGAATAAACTTACAAATGCCACAACATATTGGTCGGCGTGGTCGCGAAGGCTGAGCATGATTCCCTCAGCCAGTTTACAGGCGCAAATGCGGTCAACTCCCCCAACCTTCTCATCGGCGAACATATGCTGCACCATACCGAACATAGCATCGAGATACTGTGGGGTTTGGATTAGATGCTGTCTGCCGTATTGAACGAAGTTGTCTAGGGCTGGGAGCATGTCCTCTAGGTATAGCTCCGCACCGGCCTTAAACGTGGCGTGAATAAGCTCGAATGCTTGCCACATCGTTGGGGAGATTGATTTGGCGGCGAAGGTACAACTGTCAATGATCTCGAACACCTCATTGTATAAGTCTATTGAGATTAGCAACACATTAAATATAAGGTGATGTTTGGCTTACCGTATAACTTGTTCTCCAAGGTAACCTTGATTACTGGCATCAATATCGATTCCATGTGGAGGAGGACATCAGGAGTGCTCTCCAAGGTAAGGATGAGGGTGCCAATTGTTTGCAGAACACCAAGTGCTGTGATACTCTTGTCGTCAAGATAATCTCCGAAGTCATCATCGTCCCGTTTCTCGTTCTTCTCCAAAAGCTCTCTGACGATCCGCAGGTACGTATCACGCAACTGTTCACTTAACGCAACGGCAAACGGAGTCAGCTCAGCCGCGAACACTTCCACAAAGTCCTCCATAACGTTAGATAGCGCATCTACATCAACCTCGTTTGCGAGTTTTAACAATTGTTGCATAATCTGGGGGATATTTTGTTGCATATTGGATCTGATGATGTCGTGTCTGATCAGTGGTTGAAGTGCCAGAGCAGCCTCGACTCGTACAGGCAGCTCTTGGTCTGCCATGCACTCGAGGATATTCCGGTAGATGATGAGGAGATTGTTCGGGTCTTTGAAATCCAGTTGCTCAAACTTCTCAACTGTGTCACATGCGCGTGCTCGTAAAAATCCCTGAGAACTGCGGAAGTCTGGGAAGACGTATCGCACAAGAAAGTACTCGACCTGCTCAGCGATTGGGCTCTTTTTCCCAAGGATTACGCTGGACAATGTTCCAATCATGCGGAGGGCGCCCTCCTTCGCAATATGATTCTTCTTCTCGGTTGTCTCGTACTCGTTCACCACGGTGTTTACAAACGTCAGGATGGTAAACGTATGCTTCCTCCGGACTTTCGTGAGGGTCACTAAGAAATTCGTTGCCGCAACATCGGGAGCTGAAACTTCTTCGTAGTAGTTAAGTTTGTGGTGGAGATATTCCTCGGGATCGGTATCGAACTGTTCAACATCCTCCTCGGAAAGGCACATCACAGGGAAGAGGAAATGTGTGACGAGAGAATCGAGATGCGGTTTGAGATGATTCCACATCTGTTTCGGTCGAACGCATTCATCAAGGAAGACAAGTGTGTACGAGAGGCAAGGTCTGCTAAGCCAGGTTGTTTTGGCCACCCATTTCTCAATCTGTTGAAGATAGCCTTTGAGGATTTCAGGCGCAAAGTTTTCAGTAAAGCTCTTTGCGAACTCGGCATAGTCGTCTCCATTGCCCTTTTGCAGTGACTGGGGATTTCCGTAGCTAGAAACATTAGAATTGGCCCGGGATATATGGAGTGGCCACATACCGGACAAAAAGTCGATTCAAGTTGAAGTAGGCCCATTTCTTAGATTTCCACCAGTGATTCGCCTCTCGCTCTGCTACATCCTCTGGCAAGGCACTCTCCGGTAATTCTTTAGCAACGGTTTGGAGGAACAGCGAGCACCACCCTATCATCGTTTGTTGCTCTCTTAGCGAAACAGCCAGTTCAAACTGCAAACCATCAGCACTTCTACTCGCTAGTCAAAAATCCCCTACCAAAACTCACAAATGTTACGTGCTTATATGCTTTAAACACGATATGGAGCATTTCCCCGGCCTCCTCGCTAGTTTCATTCACAAGTCCTTGACCAATAGTTAGAAGTCGTGGGAAAGTTGCTTCTACGATTTTATCGAAGTCGGCTCGATGTTCCCCAGATTTGAAACGAAAGACTCGGCAAAGAGCAAGCAGACACTGCAGGCCTGCAAAAATAGATGGGGCCTCATTCGTATTGAGGAGCTGCAGCGTGATGGTAATGAAACTCGGCCACTTTTCGGGGAAGTCATAGTGGAGGATCTTCTGTAGGACTGGAACAAGTTGTTGTCGAATCTGGGGTGGTGAGGAGGCTAGGACGGGCAGTAGGCGATCTCGGAACCTTTGCTTCTCATCGTCTGGTATTACTTTGTTCTGCGGATATTCCTCGCTCACAACCCATCCTCTTGTAACGCGATTCTTCAGGTAGACAACCGCTGCGTTGTAGTTAGTGTCGGGTCTCGGTACAGGGACGAATGCGAGACTGGAGGTTTCGGGGGCTGCATACTCGACAGGCGGATGGGAGCGTCTTGCTCGGCTTGGAGAATATCAAGAAGGGCATCTGTGAAGCCAGGATGTTCCTCAGCCTGGCGGGGCAAAGCATTAGCAAAGGGCGCTGGTAATCGTCAAGGCGCCGTAACGCTTACAGTCTTCAGGTCTTGCTCTGCACTTCGACGAGCGTCTGCATCGGCGGCGAGCGTTGCGACAATACGGTCGCGCAGCACAGCAACATCCATCTCGACAATATGAATGCGCCGTTTGCCGTTTTAGGTGGGGCGGGCGAACAACGAACAGTGATGCGGCGGGCAAGGGCAATCAAGGGCAAGCAGGATAGAAAAAGATGGGTTTGGTGTTGTGGGTAATAGTTAGGATATTGTGGTCGCGATCTTCGCCTAGCTTTTCTGCAAAGGCGGTCTGGCGTTTTAGAGTACTCGAGTAGATCTAAAATCTCAAGGGAAGATCGCGGCGCATTGCTGACTCCGCCATAAGCATATATAAAATATATAACGGCGTTGATATTACTTACCTGGACAAGAGCACATAGTATAGTACACCATGCAGGGTCGATGCAGGAACTCGTCGAGGTCACCTTGCTACAGTAGCAAAGCGTCGTCTGTTGTGGGCATTACATACGAGCGTATGCCTATTTTGTCCATTGCGAGCGAGCATCACAAGTCTCCTGTCGGGGGCAGCTCCAGCATCGGAAATTCCATAGAATTCTAAGTATTATACGCATTGACAGAAGCATTATGGGCACTTGTATTGTGTCTGATCTATGGCGCACTCTTGCTCCGCTCTATTCGACCACCCCCGATTACCTATGGAAGGGCGAAGGGAAAATGGCCCAAGGATACTCTCCGCTGTTGATACGCATCTTTTTCAGGCACAGGCATAGGAGATGGATAACTCTTTCCAGCGAATACAAGCAGAAACGCTAGGCATGGTGTTCCTCTCGACTTATTATACTTCTTCCAAGGGTACAGGTGCCGGCATTCGAGGAGCAAGCAACACGAGCGCGACACGTGGGGATTCGGGATGCATGCCATCCTTCGAGGATATCTCACGGCCTCTCGACGGTCCCTGTTCAACCGGCCTGGTGTAAAGGATACAAAGCCTGCCAAGGAGCAAGAGTCGATGTTATCAATGGAAGACAAAGCGACAACGCATAGCTCTGTGAAAATAACCTCGTTGGCAAGTACCAGAAGTCCCTGCCACTCAAGGTTACATGTTGTGCCTAACCCCGAGGATTGATCAATAGCTAATTCCAAAGCACTTTGTTTGTGCTATTAGACGGTGGAAAATAGGGCAAAAGAAACAGCAAACGCAAAACCCCGTTTGAAACGGATAAGATCTAAAGAAACCTTCCATTCTTGAAAGGCTAGTATATATATGATCAGATCTCAGATAGGGAGAGATAGCGATAGCACTGTTCACCCCTCTCTGCCCTTATGTTCCCTTGGCACTCGTCTTGTGGCTGAACGCCCTCCAGCCCCCGCCACTCTCTATCGCCGACACTATTATCTAAGTACGAAGTACGGTACATCAACGCGGTGTCACCAGGGTACTACCAACGGAAACGTATCAAATATCGGCCACACTGCCCGCATATACCTGCCCAACCTAGAATGGAGCCCCGAGCAGAGTGGCGGGGTCTCAGTCTCGATATCTAAACCGTGGTAGTGGTATCGACACCTGAGTTGCTTAAATCGGCAGATAACCTTGCTTCCCGGAACCAAGGGTTGAATGGGATGCTAAAGTAGAAAACAATTGGTGTTTGTTTGGCTCAGGCGTTTGTATCCAGCCACATGAGTACTACACTGCCCTTTCTCCTCGTCGTACCTCTCTTTCTCTTCTCTCCTCTCTTATATATTTTCCCCTTGAATCTCTACGAACCCGCTCCTCGCATGCTCTAGACATAACCCTCAGAGCGAGCTCTGCTTTTCAAGATGTCGTCAGACAAACCAACAGATCGTATGCTGCCCGATGGATCGATGGCATCTGGCGACTCCGTTCCTCATCCTCTCGATCCGCTTTCTGTCGCCGAAACAAACTTGGCTCGTGATGCTATTCTAAACGCCCGCGGATCGACTGTCGTGGTCCATTTCCGGTCAATATCGCTCCAAGAGCCACCAAAGAAAGATCTATCACAGTTCCTCGCCCTTGAACACTCCGGTGAACTGACTCCGCGGACTCCACGGCCAGAGCGACTGGCGAAGGTCAATTATGATACGGTTCGAGGCGATAAGCAACATGAATATATGGAATCTTGGGTGGATGTGGTGGAGGGAAGGGAGGTGACGAAGAAGCTTATTGATAAGGCGCATCAGGCTAGTCTGACAATGTATGGGTCACCATTTATCCAATATGTTCTGCGGGAAGCTGACCAAAAGGGTTACAGGCAGGAATTCCGAGCATTTACCGATGCCTGCCTTGCTTCTCCCCTCTTTCAGAAAACTATCGCCGAATTCGACCTTCCAGAAGGCTTCGTCGTGACAATTGATCCGGTGAGACCATATCTTCGGGGCTTAAACGGACTCCCTGACTCTTAATGTAGTGGCCATATGGAAGCGATGAAGAAGTCGTTCCCCGTTATACCCAAGGTCTATGTTTTGCAAGAGACACTCGTTCGGGAAATGAAGACTCGAATCATTATCCTTATCCTCTGCCCATAATTCCTGTTATGGATACCTACAGTGGCGAGATTGTGCGAATTGAGAAATTGTCAACAGGCGGAAAAGAAGATGGCCTTACCCCCGGAACTCATCAAAAGGATATACTTACTCACTGCTCGCCTGGGGAGTACATTCCCGAGTTGTTGTCGCTACCACTTCGCTCTGATATCAAGCCATTGAATGTCACCCAGCCAGAGGGCCCATCTTTCCAAGTCAATCAAAATCTAATAGAATGGCAAAAATGGAGGTTTCGAGTGGGCTTCAATCCTCGGGAGGGTGCCACGCTTCACGACATTCGGTATGATGGGCGAAGCGTGCTATATCGACTTAGTCTGAGTGAAATGACGGTACCATATGGAGACCCACGACCGCCTTTCCATCGAAAGCAAGCATTTGACTTCGGTGATGCAGGTGCAGGGCGTGCTGCCAATAATCTGGCTCTCGGATGCGACTGTCTTGGAGTCGTTAAATATTTCGATGCTGTTCTAACAGACGCAGATGGAAAGGCAAACGTGAGCAGAAATGTAGTCTGTCTACATGAACAAGATAATGGTATCCTCTGGAAGCACACCAACTATCGAACAGAAAGAGCTGTGGTCACCCGGCTCCGCGAGCTCGTTGTGCAATTCATCATTACCCTCGCAAATTACGAATACATATTTGCATACAAATTTGACCAGGCTGGTGGGATCACTATTGAAACTAGGGCTACTGGCATCGTTAGTGTTGTCAATATTGACCCTAACAAGACAAGCCATTGGGGCAACGTTGTGTCTCCTGGTGCTCTTGCTCAGAACCACCAACATCTATTTTGCGTCCGGATTGATCCCGCCGTTGATGGCCATCAAAATACCATCGTGACTGAGGAATCATTACCGATGCCGATCTCAAACGATCTAAATCCGTTTGGCAGTGGGTATGAAGTAAGTGGAAGGTTTCTGAATCTATTTTGATACTACAGGTATCAGACCTAAAGCTCAAGCGGGCATTTTGAAGGGACAATGAAATTCCAAACGTACCTTACTCTACCCTGGGACGCCACAATAAATGAAAGCTGTTTCACTGTATTGAAACACCACCCACTACTTCTAGCATCTCCATCTTCGTAGGATGATTTAGCTAACTCCGAAAACGATAGGTCAGACAAACTGCGATAAAGAAGTCGCAGTTTTTTGACGCTTCACCAACTACTAATCTCACAGTCAAAATGACCAATCCATCAAAGCTAAACCCGATCTCTGGCAGACCCGTTAGCTATAAATTCACCCCTTCAGCCTCTCAATTGATGCTTGCTCATCCTGATAGCATTATGGCAAGGCGAGCTCAATTCGCAGAGCACCATGTGTGGGTGACAAAATACAGAGACCGCGAACTCTGGGCTGGTGGAGAGTTTACCAATCAATCTAAAGCAGAGGTCGATGGAGTTTCGGATGCAGCGGCACGGAACGAGGACGTTGAGAACGAAGACGTGGTTGTTTGGAGTGTCTTTGGGTTGACGGTGAGCCACCCTTGATTTCATCGTACATGTACGAAGTACTAGCTGATGCTTGTTTTTACGGCAGCATAACCCCAGAGTGGAAGATTGGCCAGTCATGTAAGTCCCTCGTTGCCTGTGGCTTGCTGAACTTCACCCCTGACCCGAATTGACTTAGGCCTGTGGAAATACATCAAATCCACCTTCGTCCGGCGGACTTTTTTACTAGCAATCCCGCTCTTGACGTACCGGGTGCAAAGAATTCAGCTTCACGGCTTGCTCCTGGCGAAGAATTGTGTTGTGAAAGCGGTAACGTTCAGCACGCACCCGCAACGCATCTTCAAGGCTCGGGGCCCGATCTTGATCCGAAGAGCAAGCTGTGAGCCCTGTCTCACACCAATACCTAGTCGAGGATATCGGACAATTATTTGGCCGTTCTTATCCGTTTCTCTCGGAAATGGCTATCCCTGTTAGAGCCAATTGATAATCTGCCAAAGAATGCTAGCAATACGAGAAATAAGTAGATCAACGTTGCTCGGAATACTTAGCCAAGAGTTCGCAGAAATATATCCACATGAAATCGCTCGAAAAGAGTAGACATTTAATTTGAAATAGGTGCTCTCTTTTAAATTCCTCTGGTTGCTCTCTTCATGTATTTCGCTAATATATTTTACCTTTCATCTATTGTTTTCTGTCTTGGAACACCCCTATTTAGGAGGCTGGAGCATTTTGTGTGTAGCAACGGTGTTCGGGATGCATATTGTATAGCGCTTCATGCACGAGACTACAGGAGGTTTGATTCGAAAGGGTCGTATTGCAGCTCCGATATCAAGCCTCCGAGTCTGCGTAACTTTGATGTTTACGAGCCATTCCGTCCCCCCCGAATGCTTCAAGGGTAAAGCCCGTCCTAAGATAATTTTCCAATAATATCCACCGTCCAATTAAAAGCATTGTGGCGCGGGATAACCCGATTCCATGCAGCTCGATTCGTTAAGATCAGGAATGGATCCCCTTTGAATTTACCCAGTAAATAATTAAAGCTGGCGACAACCGGCTTGGTGACCTACGCGGGACGTTGGGATGATCTCAAAAACACGAGTTCATCCGAATTGAGGCTAGTTCTTCATAGCAAAATCTCAACCTTTACATCGACCTAGCCAATGAAACGGCATGTTTCCTCGTATTCGATGCCGTCGGTGTAGTTATGATGTTCTTCATTACCCTCCATGCTTCGTTCTATCTGCGCATTTCTTTTTATAGCTTACCCCGCAAGATATCGGAAGTTAGACCAAAATCGAAGTTTGGGATGTTTAAATATGCTGTTAGTTMCCCCTACAATAGCTGCTAGTTGTAGAAGCCACCTCCTTATCATAGAGAATCTATTGCAGCAAAACTCGTCATGAAGCACTCTAATATGGCTTCAAGCCTCTTTCTCCTTGCTACGCAAGTTCCCTAGCATGATACAGTCCAAGTCATTTACTAACTTCACTCAGTCTCCTGACCTCCTCGGTCTTAGCAGAACGCCCTTCCTGTGCAACCATCACCAAAACTAGCACCAGCAAAGGCTGCCCACCACCCACCCCATCTGTCTGCCCTACACCAGACTGCATCATCCTCGAACGCCTCGACGTGCCTTGTGGCTGCCCAAAGGTAATCGCCACAGAAACAGAATACATACCCTGCACAACAGGCTGTCGCGGCAATTGCGCCACCCAGTATCAAACCAACCTCCTCTGCACCAAGAGTACGAGCAGCACGCTTTCCACCATAACCACCAAACCCTGTTCATCAGATTCATGTGTCACAATCACTAAGACAACAGGCTCTACCTGCCCAACACTATCATGTATAAACCCACACCCTCACTGTGTGACAGTCAGCACAGTAGCGAACCCTTGTTCCTGCAAGAGTATTGTGGAAACTACAAGTTGTAGGACAACGTGTATTGACGGCTGTGAGACTGATTACTCCACGCTTTATTACCCATGCCCATTCTCGCCGCCCCCGCCGACGCCGACGCCGGTGGTGTCGGGAGGGGACGATGCGCCTATTACGAGGACATTGCCGGTGCAAACAGCCCCGGTTTCAAAGTAGATCGGTTGGCTGAGCCACTAAAAGTGCAACGGAGGAATTGGGCTAGAGTATATGTTGGGTAGCGTTAGGGGATGGAATGGGCGAGGGGAGTATTCTTGTCTGTGGGGTCTGGAATTGGGAGTCGGTTTTCATGTACGTCCGGGTATGGTTTATAGGAAATAGGAAAAGTTAAATTCATGTGATTATATTGAATGTGATGATATGACATGACGAGAGAGGAGCCTATCCTTAATGGTAGAGCCTTTTACCATTAATGCCAAACTTCACTGCCCAATCCGCCGTAGCTGGTTTGCTTACCCCTTTTATAAGCGAGGTACGTAAGAAGCTGGAAGTAAAGTTCAATTGCGTGCTCCACCTAGCCAGGGTATGTAAGTAGCAGCTATTCTTCATGAAACTCGTCTCCGGCTACAAAAATACCCAACGCAAGAAAATTTCTTAAGATTCTCTCGGTGCACAGCTTGATCCTATGCTCCTGCTAATAGGATATAGTTACGGAGTTAATAGGCTATGTAGAATGTAATCTACGCGTTGTTGTAGCCAACGCAAGGTATATATAGGAAAGGGGGTTGAGTATAATATCCTGAGTACGAAGGAGATTTGCGGAAGGGCGCTTCATTAGACGCCACGGTTTAATCCGAGATGTGTTTTTTGTCCTTTGAGCTTTAGTATTTTAGGATGTTAAGATTTTTCCGGACACTGCCAAGAGTGGTGAAGCTAATATGAATTCATGAGTTCAGCAGGTGGGATATGAACAGATAAGAGAGAAAGCAAGAACTAACATGGCTGGAGGTATATTATTGAGAGTTGTAGCATTAACTATCCCCCTTTCTGGAAAGTGGTTATAGCTTGCGACAAATAGAAATGTTCAGACCCATTACGATTAGACACGCTTGTCATGCTTATAATCCAACTTTGGATAGTTGGCTAGGATAGAATATTTGTTGGATGTAGCAGTCACGATAATGAACATAGAATGACTCGAGTTTCAACAAGTTGATGGCATAATGCCCTATCAATCTGCCATATCAATCATCCTCCTCCTCCTCCTCCTCACTAACCTCCTCCCCGGCTTCGATTGCTTTTTGACGCCTCTTAGCAGCTCTTTCCCTCTTCCTATCCAGTAACTTCTTCAGCCCTCTCGCAACATTAAAACTTCCTCCCGTTCCTGAGCCACAGGCCGCACAACTCGGATCTTTCCTATATCTCTTCAACGCACAGCTCTCGCAAAAGTAATGTCCACAGTTCGTAACAATGGGATCCTTATATTTCTCCTTGCAGATGATGCACGCAAACGGGATGCCCTCTAGCTTCGCATCTTCCTCGTCATCCTCGTCCTCATTCCCAACATCACGGTTTGCGCTCCCGACTATCGTACCGGCCACCTTTTTTCCCTTGGTAGCAACCTCCCACTCTTTATCCAACTGCCAACCGTGCTTATAGTCCTCTCGTGTGTGAGCGTACTTGCAATTATCGCCAAAGCCGCACCAGCCGGTCTGTTTAAAATCCTTGCAGGTATCCGGAGCGAAGTCTGTAACGGTAATTGTGCGGATGTTTGTAGGCGCCTTCACTGGCCCTACTACCCGGTTCGGCGCATCTGGATTCTTTCGAATGAACGAGGTAGCATTCGCAAGACCTTTATATGTCCCGTCTGGTGCCTCAGATGGAGCGGCTCTTGTAGTACCAAGCAGATTCTTGCTGGAGAGGGCATCGGTGGCGTTCTCATCATACCAATTGGTCTGCTTGGTTGCATCGTTCGAGCTTTTGATGGTCTCGCTGCGGTCGGCGGAGTACTTTGTAGGTTCTAGATGAGAGGTAGAGTGGCTACTCTGCTTGGATGTTGCAGTTATCACTCCAGTGTTCTTCTTCCTGCGCTTGACCCTACGTCCTGATTCATCCTCGGAAGAGCTGTACGCCGAAGAATCGCTGTCGGAAGCGGGGGGTGGCGTGGCGGCGCGTTTTCGAAAGTTGGCTTTACCTTTGGCAGGGCGTTTCTTAAATATGGCGACTGGTTGGACAGCTGCTTGGGGGGAGTTGGTGGAATCCATGATGTGAAGCTTCAAGCTGTGGTTCTATAATTTTGTATCTGTGGCTGGCAAGGGGCCGAGATGTGGCTGAGAGCTTCGAGATGGCAACTTGATAAGATTGTTTTGACTGACTAATTCAATGCCTGGGAAAGAAGGCAACAGAAGCTGGACGACTCCACCAGAAAAATAGCCGCTTTTGGTATGATGGATGACAAACACATACATCTATTATCTACATCTACTTGAGGTCTTGAAACTGCCTGTCTATTTTTGTAGGCTTGAGTCCGATCCCAGTATTTATTAGTATTAGTAGTACACAATACACAATACACAAAGTCCACGCAAAGTACGCGCTGCCAAGCAGCGTTGTTTAGCGTAATGTGCCTCTCGGAATGCTAGGACCCTCCCGGGAGCTACGGTTTACCTAGGGACTTGGTCTTCGCGCCTGCAATCTTCCTAAATTGCAACGTCAATGCAGCCCTTTATAGTTCCCCATTCCCATGTCAAGACTCATATAACGAGTAATAAGGAATCCAAAAAAACAGTATTACTCACTCTGCGTTGTTTCACTGTGTAAAACACGCGTCTCTGTTGACCAGTAATATCTCGCTCTCCGCCAAACAACTGCGACAAGCGAGGTACACAAGACAAACAAGTTACTGTTGATTGTCCTACGTACTCGTATCGCGATCTGCACGCCATTTTGTCCTCTCAGGACTCCGCATTTCCGGGCTGTCTTTGATATTCCTTTTGCAACACCTCCCTTGCGCCAGCGAGATCAGTCTTTGGCCAGTTGCAAGCTTTTCAACCACGGATTGCGTCGTGTCAGCATCGGCGCAAGCATCGACGGAGCCCCAATTGTCGGGGAATAGGAAAAGGAACCAGCGACGCGCCCCTTAACAATTTAAATCAACAGCACCAGCGAACACAACAACAACAACAACAACACCACCCATATTTCTCCACACCGATGTCCGTATCACTTGGGAACCAAGTTTTACTGTTCCATTCTAACCTCTCGTGAAGCACAGATTTCACACCCAATCGCGAACCGCCCTCGAATCGCGCTTTGAATTTGCAAGTGCCTGCTCGAAAAACAAACAGGGCGGAGCGTTGGGGTAGGGCACTTTGAGGACGCACTGGTTTCCAAGCCGCCCTTGGATTGGAATTGTTGGTCGGCAGCGGCAGAGTCGCAATGGCGACTTCGTTAGCAACAGATCACCCATCATTAGCTTCACAAGACAGCGATGGACAAGAGCAGGATCCCTTCCTTTCTAGTTCGACAAGCTCAAACCCTCATCGATTCTCCCATTTCGACAACCAGCTCTTTGCCTTGAGCCCCGCCGCATCTCCCGACCAGGCCAAGCGGGCATTAGAAGCCCATCTCGCCGAGACCGAACGTCGGATTCAAGATGCCTCAAAGCTGGGAACCACCCTCGTGCAGCAGCGGAAGGAATTGGCAGAGCGTTTGAAAGACGTTGAGAAGCAGCAAAGTGAGGGAGACATTACCCCCGAATTACGCCAGAAGCTGGTCGAGATTGAAAGGGAATACAATGAGGTCGGCCGTGAGACCGCCAGGGCATTTCTACCAAAGTCAAGGGTGTCGAGCGCTGAAATGGGCGGGTCTCCATTTGCAACTGACCTTAAGGCACTTCTCTCTTTCCCGCTTCGTTGAAATTGACTAACATAGTATAGCACGCAAGCCCGTCGAAGTTTGAAAGCCAGGCCACCAGCTCACCCACCAAACTCAGCGTCCCAAGCCGGAAGCAGCGAAATCAGCCCTCCAACCGTGTCCACGATATTGAATTCGCTACGGAAATTAGTACATCTCTCTTATCCCAAGTTCGACATCTACAAGCACTGTTAGCGGAGAAGGAAGATTTGCTAAAGGCGGTCACGCTTGAAAGGTCCAATTTGGAGATCGAGAGAGAAGGCCTGACCGAACGCTTACGGGAACTGGATGAGAGTGAGCAAAGGTATAAAGACGAAAATTGGAATTTGGAGACACAAGTACATGAACTTCTTGCCACGACAAAAGAGGCGGCGGATAGGGAGCAAAAGTTGACTCAAAATCTACAAGTGGTTCAAGCCGAGAAGTCTGCCGCACAGAAAGAGCTTGATGAGATCAAGCTGAGCCACGCAAAACTTTCCGAGGAGCACGTATCCGGTCTGAAACACCATGATGTTGAGCTAGGAAGTGTTAAGCGAAGCATGATAGTGGCCGAGAATGAGCGCGGAGCTTTGCAGCGTAAAGTCGACGAATTAATCGGTCAAAATCAGGAACTTGCTAGAGCTGTCGCGGAACGACGGGGGCGAACAGATGAACAGGAGCAAACCCGAGGGTTGACTGACGAGGACTTTGAGACCGCACGTGATGATATTACTCCTGAGCACTCTCCACCACCTTCCCCTATTAAAGGGACCCCACGCCACAGCATGCTGGAGACAGAAACCCTCAAAAGCTCCCTGCACCATGCTCATCGGATGATCCAGAACTTGAAAGGCAACATTCACCGCGAGAAGACCGAGAAATTGGAATTGAAACGGATGCTCCAGGACGCCAGGGATGAATTAGAGACTCGCCGAAACGATGGAGGACTAGGATCCGCCAACGGGAAGAGGAATCGTAAAGTGGACTCGAGAGAATTCAAAAAGCCCCTAAAGCCAGGCCAGCTGGGTGGGCTGAGAAACAGCAGAAGCGAAGTTTTCGTTGATGATCCTGACTGGGAAGAAGATAATGGCAATATCAGCCCGAGCCGCTCAGCAGCAGCCAATGCAGCTCGTGTTGCCACTGCTGCGGCTTCCGTGCCTAGCTCTAGTGAGCAGTTTGACACCGCCAACGAGACTAGCGATGCTGCTTTCGAGACCGCGAACGAACGTGGCACGGAGACGGAGGATTTCCAGACCGGCGCGGAGGATTTAAGTGGCAGTGATGAGTTGACAGAGACGGAGGAGGCGGCTAGTGGTACTACCCGCAACAGACCCGCGCCTCTTGCTCTCCAGAAGCCAGGAAATCGCCACTCCTTCCAAAGCACTGCATCAACATCAGGGGACGAGTACAGCTATGAGGAAGCCAAGACGCCAACTGCCCAGCCACAACCACAGCGGCTCAGACTAAAAGTCAGTCGCGGTGGTAACAGGCGCTCCAGGGTTGCTAGCGAAGAGCCTCAGTTTCAGAGCAGCCCAGCAAGTTTTGCCAACAGCAGCAGAAATGGTACTCCCCAAGCTGCCGGCCAAAGTTTGTTTGCGGAGTTGGGTGATATGGGTGGCAGTGATGAAGATGAATCACTGCTAGGTACACCTAGTCGTAGTGTGGCCCATTCGCAGTCAGGAACCCCAGCAGCATCTAGGCCAAACACCGCTAAGAACACACCTGCACCTCCTACTTCCCTACCTCCAGTTCCAAAGATCCCAATGGTTGATTCCGGGATGGTGACCGAACCATGGGAACCGGAACCAACGACTCCACAAGCTGCTGTACCCAGTTTGGCTATTGGTGCCATCGCTGGTACTGCCGCTACTAAAGCGGCCGAGATGATTAGTGATAAGCATTCATCAACAGGTACTCAGGTTCGTGCCGAAACGTCTGACGCGGCAAGCCAATGGCATGATGAGCAGCTCAACAATTTCCTTCAGGTTGGGTCCCAGGAAAGCGCCCGGCCCGTCTCCACTTCGACGTATAGCGATAATGGCTCGCAATACGATCCTGTTGTTATGGATGAAAAGCTCTCCAGATTCCCGTCTCCTCCAACTTCCGGTGCCGAAACCCCGAGGGCTACACCCCCTACAGTATCTTCCCGGTTAACTATGTCGTCAATCTACTCTGAGGATGTTGAGCCTGAGAGCCCCAGGTCTAGTTTTGCCGCTCCGTTAGCCATGTCTACGATCTACTCCGAGCATGTCGAACCTGAAAGCCCTAGGTCTATTCCTACCGCTCGGTTGACCATGTCGTCAATTTACTCAGAGTATGTCGAGCCTGAAAGCCCGAAGCTGAACCCTACTGCTCCCTTGGCCATGTCTACGATCTACTCTGAGCATGTAGAGCCTATAGAGCCAGAAGTTCCAGCCACTCCCGAACCGAAACAGATCCGGCCAAGCACCCCCAACGTTAAGCCTATGCCTGCTCCTTTGGTATTCTCATCTATTCAGTCCGTTAATACTGAACCCATTGAGCCGCTCTCGCCACGTAGTCCACGAAGAGATGCTATCATCATTCCAAGAGACGACCCAGAAGCCCAGTCGATTGTGAAGGCAGATGATCCGGAAACCCCCAAATCCGGTTTCCTCGGATCTGTCTTTAGCTGGAATAAAAAGGCGCCTGGCGCAATGGCCATTGCTGAAGACGAGACCAGGCAGTCACCAAGCGACTCGCCTAGGATCGAGACCCCTGAATCTCAGCGGCCGTTCAAAGAGTTGTCCAACAACACTAATGAGAGAGCTGCGAAGAGTCACCGAATAGAAACGACGGATGAAAGTTCGCAGACTGCTTTGACAGCTGAACAGATTGACGAAATGCTCCGGAATAAGAGACAGTCTGCCATCCGTGCTGAAGATGGTCAAAAGTCGCCTGTTTCTCCGCGTGCTACTGGTGTTCCTTTGGCGCTCCGGCCTCGGAAATCACAGGATAGTGTTGGGAGTACGGTTCGCGCAAGACCATCTAGTTCTCGAAATGGATCGATATCAAGCATCCACCCACCGCTACCCGCCGACTCTAAGCAAGTCATCGCCGCTGCTGCCCAACGTACTGGCTCGTCGAGTGGCGGTCAAGGTACCATAGGCGCCTCGGCTCAGCGTTCAGACTCGTCCGCCGGAGGCCCTGGTTCTATGGGCCCTCCTCCACCACCTGCTCTTGCCAATCGAAACAACTCGTCATTCAGACCTCGTACACCCTCGCAGATCCCAAAAAGCCCATTGTTGAGAGATGGGACAACCCCTAGACCCATGCACTCATCTAATGGGCCTCGATTGCAGTCTCCTGCTGGTACTGGAAGATCCCGAGCCTCCTCTGTATCCTCATTTGCTTCTGAGCTTGATACTCGGTTCAATATCAGACCGGGCATGGCAGTACCGCAGGGCGTGGAGCCTGGTACTGACCCAAGGATGATCAATGCAATCACGCAGACAATGATTGGAGAATACCTCTGGAAATATACCCGTAAGGCTGGTCGTGGAACAATGTCCGAAAAGCGACATCGCCGCTATTTCTGGGTTCACCCATATACAAGAACTCTCTACTGGAGTGACCACCCATCACAGGCAGGTAAAACGGGGATGGCAAAGAGCGTATCAATCGACGCTGTAAGGGTCGTAACGGACGACAACCCTATGCCCCCCGGGTTGCATCGCAAGAGTTTGATCATCGTGACCTCTGGCCGCACTGTCAAGTTCACTGCAACGACAGGACAGCGTCACGAAACTTGGTTCAATGCACTGTCTTACTTGCTCCTCCGAACTGGAGAAGAAGCTGTTGGGGACACGGGTTCAATCGCCCAAGGGGCTCTGACGAGAGAAGATGTAGCTGAATTCAATCCAGGGTATGGTAACAGCAGTACACGTCGAGGCCCTACCTCGCTTTCATCATACAACAGCCGCACAACTCGTAATGACTCTCCCTCGCGCAAATCTAGTCAAGCCTCAGCGAGTCGTCCACCTCTGCATGCCTCGACTTCCTCACGCATGTCGATGGGGACCCTTTCACGGCTAACCAATTACTGGAAACCTGCAAAGGACGTTGCTCTAGGTACCTCAAAGAGCAGACACAGCATTGGACGGAATAGTGCAAGCATCTACGAGGCTTCCGAGGTCCACGATAGCGCTGAAGACTTGAGAGAAATGATCGAGAAACAAGATCGGGAATCTGATAGGCTTGAGAATGTACGAGCATGTTGTGATGGTACGTCTTTCTCCCCAACCCCATTTGAGCTTTCTGACATCTGAATAGGCAAACACGATGTTGGCCATCTACATAGCTCAACTAAGAGTCGCCATTCATATGGCAATCGTGCACCCAGCCGAACGAGTGTCAGACGCGGAGATTAAAAACATAATGTATTACGCCTTGCCCAAACGAGGGCTTCCTTTACGAATTCACGTCTTTCCTTAAAAATTCTTAAAAACTCCCACATATTGTGGAGAGACTTATGCCTGTTATACGGCCTTTACGGACACATAGATCATGCAACGATCAATTTCTTTTGTCTCTCTTCAAATTAATGACGACTGGCTTGGAACTATTCATGCAAAATAAAAGCATGGCAGGCAGCCGCTCGCTTTCTAAGCCCCGAGATTGTATTGGTGGACATGGGCGTTGATAATGTACAGTTCGCAGCGGAGAGAAGTGTGCAGTATGTATTGGTTATGTAGTGAGATAGTTCAATATACCCAGTATTTGTTAGCCGGATTGTGGCATGCAAGTGTTCTATTGATTTATATTGGTCTATGAGCCAGAATGTGCTGGTGTCTATTTATGACAAGGAGTTTGTTTGTGAATGACCTCATCCTTCAAATTCCCTGAACCAGGGACTACAATACCACCTCTCTATCTATCCTCTATGTATTACCCAGGCCCTCTTATGGATACCTATTCTAATATCCCCTTAACCTTCCCGGACCTTTCTTTTCTCAACTGCCATCACATCCAACCTAGTCACACCCTCCAAGGCTAGCCACCCATTTGTTCCCGACGCTCCGTCCCTCCCCCTCTCTTCAAAATAAGCACCAAAACAATCTACATCATCACAATACCTAGACTTCGTATACGATAGAGCGTTATCATTACCTTCCTAAAGCCCAAGTATTGCCGTTAGAGACAAGATGGTGATTTCCCAACATATGGATGAAACGAATAAGTTGTGAGGCAAAGCGGGAAAATAGGTGGTGAGCGATCGTAACGCAACGAACCCAGTATCGCCTGGCAGAATCAGAGGTTTACGCCTGGCAAAATAAAAGGTGGTGACCGATCGTAACGCAACGAAATTATGCCGCCTGGCAGGATAACTGACAGAAACCAGAAGTGGTGAGCGGTCGTAACGCAACGAAACTAACATTTTTCTTATTAGGAGAACCAGATGGCAGAATAGCTCTGACGAAGCCCAAAGTGGTGAGCCGTCGTAATGCAACGAAATCAGTACCGCCTGGCAGAATCAAGTGGCAGAACTAAAGGTGGCGAGCGGTTGACACGCACCGAAATATGCACCGCCTGGCAGAATAGCGAGTGGGGAGTGGGGAGAGAGAAGGACATATGCTAAGCACAGTTGACTATCGCCATAGCCTTGTACTCTAAAACTCGCGGGCGTGGTTAAGACCTAGAGTCAGAGAATCTATTCAGACATTCTATAGACAACATCAAAGGCTACTAAATACATCTAGCATTATATTCATCCCTTCTTCCGTTTTCCACCAACAGACCCGCTGTCATCAGAGCTCCCCATCAATGCCCCCGCCATTTCGGTCTTCACAACACCACTTACAGCCCTTCCAGCGCCAATATTGATCCCTCGAAGGCCGTTGGTCTCAAAACTGATATTGCTCCCACCACTTCCCCGGCGGACCTTTCGCAGGCCGTTCGCTAAGCTCGGGTTCCCTTTATTGTTTGTATATATAGGCATAATTGGTGATGATCCTTCCGATGAGTCTTCATACTCGCTCAGTTGAGTCTTTGTCTTTTTTGGTGCTCCTTCCCTGGAGCTGCTGGGTCGTTGGGCGGACGAAAACGAATTAGCACCCAACCCAGGTACCCTGCTCGTCACGACGTAGCTACTCGTACCCGTAGTTGGGCTGCTACCATCATCCTCACTCATATATGTTATAGCCGGCCTATTTGCTCCTACCCCTAGAGAAACATGACGAGCACTGCGATACCGATCGTATTCTTCTTGGGTATGCTCTGCATCGACGAAGCTTTCTAATGCATCGAACACATGAGGGAAGACCAAAGTATCTACATCTCGTGCCCAGAGGAAGTCGAGATGCTCGTAGTGCGGAATCTCGGTCGCGACTGTATGAGAGGGGAGCTCCTTCAGCATAACTTTAATATCAACCAAGGAGTCGCTTCCCCCGTAGACCAAAACGACAGGCGTTTTAATGTTACGAGTGGGAAATTTTGCAACCTTGGTATATTTGCTTGTGCTACTCAGTGGGATGACCGGCTGGACATCGTCATCGTACATTTGAAAGCTCTTTGTTCTGATTATCTGAAACCAATGTACCACACTTTTTGTACTTGTGAAAGAGTAAAGATGAGGGTAAGCGGCGAGCTTTTGGCTGGTGGAAATGTTGCGGGCATGCCAGCCGAAGAGAAATGATAGGCCGTGGTCTATTGCGCGGACGAAGATTGGCGGGTAGAGTACGGCTTGCCACATATTTGCCGAGCTAAGTATAGAGCGGCGCCCGAAAAGCAAAAATATGACTTGTGGCGATGCTTTGGTCAGAGCGTCGACGATACCATTAGAAAGGCCAGCTGGTGACATGGCGGGAGCGAGGGCGATGAAGACATTGACCTGGTCATTAAGTTTAGGGTGAACAGCCAAAGCCGCAAATGCTTGAGCTGTTCCTTGAGAAAATCCAATATAGGATAGGGATGGCGCCGAGGTGGTTTGGAGGATGTAGCTGATGCTGTTTGGAATATCGTGAAATGCAAATTCATCCATCGAGAAGTCCCAAAAGGCCGTGTCTGTCGGGGAATGGTGAACGGACTTTTTGGAGTATTTGTTTCCACGGTTGTTGCCAAGCTGCATCTAATATTAGTATTATTTTGAGGGAACATTTTCATACTTACCCAAACATCATATCCCTTCTCTACCAGCTTAAAAGGCAAACACCTCTCCTCATCTGTGAGGCAGACCCACACTTCGCTGTTCATCAGTAACCCGTGGTGCATGTAGATCACGTTCTTCTTGAGACTGTTTGCTCCCTGGTTTACTTTTCGATTTTCTTCGCCTCTACGCCATGCTAGGCGATGCAGTCCTAGGAGGTAGCCATCTTCTGTTTGGACGATATGCTCCTCGGCATAATAGCCATATAGTTCACAGATGTCCACAAAATCTGAAGCATTCCGAATAGAAGTCGAGAGGTCTTTAATCTATCAGCTTAGTTTAACAGAACGATCCGGTTTTAACTTACCCTCTTTTCGAGTGGCAGATTTCTTTTCGGCAGGTGAGGTAAACCGATTAAACAGACGTCGAGAAGCTCGATACAAAAGATTGATTATTGATGTGGCTATTGATATTAGCAATTTGCCATATCTAAAAGGCTTTTGAACTCACGTAATGCCAGAGTAAATATTCTAAACAACGCCTCCAGCCCTACAAGGAAAAACGACCCAACAAGGGCGGCATACTCACTCCTAGTTATGGGTTAGCTCTCCGGTTTCCAAGGAATTGTCGTCACTTAAATCACGACATAGAGAGCGTGCACAGAGCAACTTACAGATTCAAGCGCCCAAGGAAAGGTATATGTACCATCGTGCCGATCTCTTCGGACTCAAATATACAATATTCCGTGACTAGTATAGAGTTGTTGAACACAAGGATAAATTTCAACACCACATATCTGGACCACCGCCACCAAATATCACATGCCAAACACGCTCACAGCTCTGTTAAAGGTTTCTGTAGGCGCGATAGATATACGAGAATGTGTGAGGATTTTCTATCCAGCTCACACGTAAGGCCGCTATCGTAAATCGTAAACCGTAGCCTATCAAGCGAACCTAAATGGATTGCTCATTTCATGATGATAATTCATCGCTGGCCCAGAACCAAGGAAGGGCGTCAGAGGTGGCTAGGTTTGGTATCGGAATGGAATAACTAATACCCGAGAGGATCACATAACCCCCCCTGTCTTTCCCAGCCTTGCATGGGACGATAATTATAAACCAATCGAATTTTACAGCTCCTCAGCGTTTCTTCCGTCTCCATCAACCTGACCACCTCGACCAACACGCAGAAGCCTCCAAGTCAAAATGCCGAGTTCCTGTAAAGATATCCGTCCGTGACCCTACCTACCCAATCCTACACAATTTCCCTAGACAAGCACCTATGCTAACTGTTTTTACAGGCGCGGCATTAGCCCAGTGCCTCCAGGAATCAGACTGTGTAATGGTCCACCGCAACAAGCCCTCCGACTGCCTCCGCCCCCCTCTAATCGACACAATGCCCACCAAATGCCAGCAGTTAAAGAAAGGCTACGGAGAATGCAAGCGCGGCATGGTGGATATGCGAAAACGCTTTAGGGGCAATCAACCGATTGCTGTGAATAAGGACCTGGACGCCGGGGAGCAGGCTCCAAGCCATCAGCTGTATGCGGGGAAGCCGGCTTTTAGCGACACGGTGAAGAAAACGAGTGGGAATGAGCCAGTGGAAAGGGATTGGAGAGAAGTGGAGAACGAGAAGTATCGGAAAGGGGAGTGATTAGGGCTTATTAGGGCTTATTAGGGCTTATTAGGGCGATGTCGGGGGGTCGAGGTGTCTGATTGGAGAAATGAGGAAGTTCGAAATTTAAGCTATGAATGACGAAAGAAGCGCATTTCCTTCCCGGCGTTACATACCATTCATACGGCGGCGTTCAGCGGGGTATGGGGAAACTGATCTACTGCAGGGACGACACTTGGTTCTGTATAGTCCCCTCAGTTCTAAATATATCGGAGGTTTAAAAACTTAAATTCAACTACTTCCTTCTTACATCAGGCTTGGGCTAAATGCGTCAGAACATCAACCCTATTTATTCCCCACCAGTTTACCGAACTTGGTACATCAATGTCGTTTAATATGCCCATTCCTAGAAATTGTCTGATACATACTTGGTGAGAGTTGTTTTCATTTGATTACGTTCATTCACGATTCAACTTGTGATCATTCGTCCCAATTCATTGAATTAAACATTTTAGCTATTTTCAGAGACTAGGAAATTTTGGTTCCACCTAGAAGTCATGTTTTCAATCCCAAAGCAATGCGTCTTTTCCCGTCTACAAATCCATGTAAGACATGTGAGTGGCTTGCCATAATTCCTATTCAAACCATGCCGATATAGTCCATCTTGCCAATAGGTACACCCTCCTTCCTTAACAGCGCATACGCCGTTGTATAGTGGAAAAAGAAATTTGGAATTGCCATCTCCAGCACATACTTTGCCCCGGTAAGCGTGAATTTCCCAAACAAATCATATTCCACCTCCTCCTTCCCGTCCATGGATTTGGGATCCAGGCTCTCCAGAAGCGCTATGGTTTTGCGGATGCGCTCCCGCACCTCCGGGATCGTCTTCTCATTGTCTTCCCAGACAACGGGCTCAGCCCCCCCGAGACGGGTTGCGACGCCTTTGGCGCCGTCGCTCATGCGTTGGATTTGGTACGTAAAGGCTTTCATATCCTCTATGAGGCGTAACTCGAGGATCTTGGACTCATTGCCTTCACCAACATGGGCAACAGCTTTGTCGATGATCTTAGTGAGGGCTTTGAGGTGTTTGATGAAGGTCGGGACGGTGATGTCGTAAAGTGAGAAAGGCATTGTGAGCTGGATATGCAGAGTGGTGGTGGGCTGAGGGTTGTTGGGGAAGGGTATAGCGTCTTGAGTTCAGTGAACAAAGCTTGGGGTGACTAGCTTAAGGACAAAGGGAGCGATGGAGTTGTGGGGATGAGGACTGGAATGAGAGTGGGCGGCATGCCATCCTTTTATATCCAGAGATATTGGAGCCATCGAGTTTGATGCTACGAGTAATCCAGTAACCTACCTATGTCCGATTCCGAGTCCTAGCTCCTTGACCGACTCTTCGAACGGTAAACGGCGGAAACAAGACCCGGAAGATTACCAATGCTGATGCTTGGTAATGTGAAATGTATGACCCTAGCATCTACATAGAACCTGGAGTTTACCCGCTAACTCGCTCAAATGCTATGTGGCACTCCGTCGAGCCAGTTGTGTATCAAGTGGGAATGGTTGACGGAGAAGCCCACCACGTACAACCCCACCAACTCGGACCCTATTATTAATCTCCCGTCTCAGCTCCACCACTATGCTAGATCTCCGCGAACGGGAGCGAATCGAACCGTCCGTGTCCGCGTCTGCCTGCCGAGGCTGGGTGCAGAGATCCTGAGGTGGTTGGCTAAGCGTTGCTCGTACTGTACTGCATTCAAGTCTATCTAATCTACAAACCCTTCTTTCTTTTTTCAAAAGACGAAACTTCCCAGGAGCACTGTCAAGTCGAGGATTGATGGCCAAAAGGACACCTTTTTTTTTTTAACACTCCAATCTATCTCTAGCTCTCGCCTTACTACCCGATCGTGTGTCTTGGCTGTGTAGAACCAATGGCTGTGCCTAGCATGGAACGCTTGGGCTGTCAGCCTGACGAGTTACTCCTCAAACAGAGGTAGGCAGCAGAGGCTGACTATAATAACAACATTATCTTTATTTCACCTGCTTCTTAAAGCTTCCTACATCCTTACGCCTCAATCTGCATAGTCACTCATATCCTTGTTTCACGTTAGCACCTCCAACTTGATTTCGCGCATGTTATGCGCTCGTGGAATTTGCACCATGTCCGCCAACACCATCCTCAGCAAAATGCGGAATCAGGTGAAATCTTCGAAATCTTTGGAGTCCCGATTCCCAGATACCGTCCGAACAAACTATACCTCTCTCCCAGTCTCCATCCCTCCTGATTTCCTCGGCCCTCTTGCAGATACCTCCAAACCCACTGTTTCCAGGATCGACTTCGCCAATAGTCCGCTGCCAGAATATAAATCCTTTTACGCCGTCGTCCTCGATAACGTGCTCTCCGCCCAAGAATGCCAGGAGCTCATCCACATGGCGGAGCAATCGGCAGGGGCGCATGGGAACGGCCCTGAGAAAAGCGTGGAGAACAATGGTTGGCGCCCAGCCATGGTAAATGCGGGGTACAATTTCGAGGTTTTATCGCTGGAATATAGGAACTCTGACAGGATAATCTGGGATAACCAAGAGATAGCTCATAGGCTGTGGCTCAGGGTTCTGCAAGGCGAGGGCATGAAAGAGTATTTCGAGGAAATGGAAGGGGAGGAGTATGCTCCGGTTATTGGGCCTCGATCTGTCAAGCTAGGAGAAAGGTGGGCTGTCGCTGAGAAGGGACTCAATGAACGTTTGAGATTTTTGAAATACGGTGAAGGGCAGTTTTTCAGAGGTATGTATGGCGTTGCCTGCATGTCTTAGATGTCCTGGATTCGAAGAGTTTAGGTGCTAATTATAACAGAGCATTGTGACGGCACATATGAAACTCCAGATGGTGCCTTTCGCTCCTTCTTCACATTGCACCTCTATCTGAACGATTCCGCGCAAGCGCTCGGAATCCCCGACTCTGATACAGAAGGCGGGAAGGATCCCGCAAATGGGATGCTTCGGGGAGGGTCTACGCCCTTCTTCTCGCAACGCATGGAGGGAAGGAGGGTAGATATTGATCCTAAGGCTGGGAGGGTGCTGATTTTTCAGCACAAAGGATTGCTGCATTCGGGCGATCTTGTTACTGCCGGAATTAAGTATACGATGAGGACTGATCTTATGTATGGAATGGCTGGTAGTAGTGCTGATGGGGCGGATGGTGTCGATATTGAATTTGGTTAGTAATTTGTTATTGTGTTGTGGGGGTTTGGAGGGCTATAAAAGTGGGTAATATACATCTCTAGCTAGTAACTATATACCCTTCAATAAAGCTATATACAATAATATGGTTTATTTGAGACGTTATTACACACATACTTGTGTGTCCGCATGCGACTTAAGGATTGCAAGATCCTGGCAGATATCCAGGCGTACAGCGATGACTTGGATGATTTACAGTTATCCCTCAAGAGAAAAAATATCTATTGTCGAGCATTTGATCTCTGTTTTTGCCTGGAGGGAAATACTGGAGAGGAAAGGGTCACAACTATAAAGAACTTAGGCAGCTCAGCGTGATTTTTCAACTAGCTCCTATAATCTCCGGAGACGGACAATCCATCCAACATCAGCTACCAGATATATCGGTCCATACACTTCTCAAAGAAGAAGGATCTGGTGTCACCTCTTGCTTTGTAGGACTGTTGCTGTAGAGACGCAAGAAGCACCACCGTCCAGGAGGAAACAACTGGTGTAATGAACAACTCTCGATTCATTCTCAAAATTTCCCGGAATGCAGGCATAACAGCATACTTGGGATTTGGTTTGAAACTAGCCAACATGGAAGGCGGGGATCTATCTACCTAAAGAGAACTTTTTACTTCGCAATATATATTCCGTTTGTAACCACCTCAGATTCTCAATTATGCCCTTTCCATTATGTGATAAGCGACCGACATTGCCTGAAGGCAGCTATGAGGGTGCCTTATTACTTAATGGCCAAAGCAACTGCTTCTTATAGTCTTATAGGCGCGTAATACACACTTGTACTGTCTGTTGGAGCTCGAGTGATTCACTATAGGGGAAGTCACGTTTGCCCATTACTTGCGGTCACTGGCAATAACTTGTACGCTCTAGCTCAAACCTATATATGGCACTTGTAGCATGCATATTTGCCTAGGGTAGCATCAACGTAGGCTCCATTAGACATGAATTACGCAGGGAGAGTTGAGTATTTGTGCGATGTGCAACAAAAGTGCCAGTCAATGACTGGGATTATGTCAGTGATTAAGTCAATAATATAGGGGATTTGAAATATTTGTGCGATATGCAACAAAACAAAATACCTGTCCATTGTGAGTCTATTCACTCATGAGATCCCATAGTAAAGCTGACACTACTCGAAAGACCCGAATATTCTTGGCAAATATTTCAAACTGAAATGGATACAAACTCAGTAAAGTGGTAGTTATTTAAGATATCGATTAGGGATTCGACAGCTTATAAAGAGTAAATATGTCTTTTCAGTTTGGGCTTGATCCGGAATTATAAAACAGAGATCCAAACTGGAGGGGTGCATAAGCACAGAAGAGGGACAGTTTGGGATTCGCAAATTGGACGCACCTCTCATAAATATGGTGAGCGATTAACGGGATCGTCAATTTTGAATCCAGGCCCCGCCAGCTTCTCTGGATATTTTGAAGGGCAACTCTGGAGCTGGCATCAAGGAAGGCCAAGTTACAACCAGCTCGGTTATTTGAGGCTTCAAAGTGGCTCGAATGTCATCTAGCAGTCTTGATTCTGCACGGCACCAATCGTGCTCCCACACAGGATGAGTACGGATCTCCACACGTAGAGTTTGCAGACCCGTGAACAAAGCGATATTTTGCTAGGTTAAAACCCACATCTGATGTTTGGGAGTACCTGCTCTGGGAGGATCATAGGGAAACCAGACGAATGTCATGTCTCGGAATTTCTGGATTCGTCTTTGTGGGGGGGCTTGATGTAAGTAAAGACCGAGTTCCGATATAAATACAACGAATCCGTTCTTCTCATAAAGGATGTTGATCGTTTCGGAATATCTTACAGAGGTAAGTCAGCTAGTATTGTTTACCATTGCTGTGACACTCACATTTGACGACATGTAAGAGTAAGTGAGAGTAATCCGGAGTGATGATCTGCTGTATCCGCGCGGTATTTGCCTGCTGCGATATTAAGGTGTACCTCCCTTCCACCTAGACAGTCATGCCAGATCTGATTGCGAATTTCACGTGGAAGCCGCATAAAACTTGACTGAAGTTGTAATCGACTAGTATCACGAGAGGCACCTGAATCTTCCTCCAGTCGTAAAGTGACCTCCTGTCCTTGCGATGGGAGAGGAGTTGGGTGTATATTCTTTCGTACACAATTGCCCAACGGCCCGGGGCACGAAGGTGATGGCGGAACTTGTCACGGAACCAGTTCAGCATAGCACAGTGCTTCAGATGAAACCAGGTATAGAAACCGGTCTAGTACAAGAGACCGTTAACGATGTGTTCAACCAGAAGTTAACTTGGGAGGCATAAAACTAGAGTCGGTAAGAGTTGCAGGATCAAAGTGTGTGGATTAGTGGTTTATTTCTTGTAGAGTAGCTTCAGTAGATGAGTGCGGAAGCTACCTTGGTAGGTTGAGGTTATTAACATCCACGTACTGGTACAGTAAAAGGCGAATTGCGCATTGCGAGTTTTTGGGTTAATTCTTTTAATGGAGAGGCAGAATTTGGCGCTGACCCATCTTCCTTTCTCCTCTTTTTCCCACCCCGCCAAAGTCAGCGTTTAGTGTCAGCCACGATCATGGCATATTTTGATCGAGACTCTGCTAAAAGAAGGGTTTGAAACCAAGTTAATAGCCTCAGAAGCCTCGTGCTCCGTGCGCACTGTCCAGAGAATCTGTTTGAAGAGAGAGCATTCCAAGATACCCACCCCAAGAACAGACCACGTCGGCCGTCGTAGCTGGATTACATCGCTCATGAAAAAAGCCCTCTATGATAGTTCCGAACAACCCGGATATCAACATCACTACATACATCAGAGTATATATATATAATCTCACAGGCTAATATTCCAAAGCTTTACAAGGGGCGGGCTTAGCGAAAACACAAGTTCCTTTTCATCTTTATTCTACAGGTAGCCTAGCCACCTAACTGCGAAAACTGATCGTGATATAACCAAGAGTAGCTATTTCCACTATCCAACATTGTCTTCCCACCTCACACAACCCCCTCCTCCAAAAAACAAAACTCATCCTTCACACTATCTAGCCTCGTCCTTACCCCAAAAGGTACCGTAAGCATGGGACTCGTATGCCCAATGTCAACACCAAATAGAACAGGCCATTGCCATCCCCCACCCTCAACCAACTCAACAATGATCTCCTTCAACTTCTTATTCATCTTCTCATCATACAAGGACGTCCTCCCCACCACAAGGCCAACAATATCATCAAACAGCCCCGTGTTTATCAGATCCACGATATCAGATCGCACTCTATAAAGGGGCATGGCAGACTGATCCTCGCCTTGAGAAATCTCAAAGAAGAAGATTGCTCCCGTGTGCATCTTTGGTGGAAGATATGGAGTTCCAGAGAGTGAGACAAGTTTTCGTAATGTGCCACCCATGATAGGTCCCGAAGCCGTTCCGGGACGTAACCAAACCACTGGTGGAGTCGGGACCGCCTCTCTCACTTCTTCCGTATCCTCCTTCCCACTAGCCAAGAAAAACGGTAAATCCCATCCGGCGAAAGACGTTGACCTAGGAATCCGTTGCCCCGTGATTCCAGCTGTTGTTGTACCAGTAACGGGATCATCGCCACGGAGGACCTGGAAGAAATGTGACACCGTGAAGGGATCTGGGGCTGGGAATTCAGCGAATTCCGTTAAAGCGCAGGGACCTGTAAAGCTGCGCAAACCAGCCTGGGTGTAGAATGCGTAGATGAGATGGGTGTTGTCCGAATAACCTACGAAGATCTTTGGGTTACTCCTCACGATGCCGTAATCAATGATTCGTAGAATCTCATTGATGGTCGTTCCCCCCACGGTGGAGATGATACATGTGACCTGAGGGTCAAGAAACGCGGCGTGGATTTCTTGGACGATGTGAGAGGTCTTTGTGAGGTGGAGGGAAGTTGTGGGTGACGAAGGAACGGTGGGGAGTGGTGTGTAGATTACTTTTACAGGATAGCCGAGAGATTGGAAGAATGATACTGCACGAGAGAGAGGGGTTGGAAAGTGTTCGTTCAAGCGTTCGGAGGGAGAGATAAACGCTATTGTGCCGCCTTTTTTGAGGGCCTTAGGGATGAGTAGGGTTGGGATGGACGCCATGATAGGCATGTAGTAGTGATGTGAGTATCAAGTGTGTACGATCGAAGTTGGCATCACTTTTGGGGATGTTCTAGGGAGTAGACGAGTTTACATTTTTAGGTTCCGGAACAGCCAAAAAGGCTGTAGGTCATATCCTGTTGAATACTCACATTTGGATACTGTGCCACGATTATAGTTGGGACTAGACCTAATCTGGAAGCTGCTCTACCAAGACGTGATCACTAAATATTCGGAGAATTGACGTGCGTATACCGAGGCTCGGACGTAAACGTACATGTATATTACACGAGCGTGCAGATACTCTGGTAACTTTCCACTACTTCTCGTGACTGTATATCCTGCTCCACATACTGTACTATCTCTTGTTAATAGAAGGCGCCGTATAAAATGTGGTCGAAAATAAAAAATCATGGGACCGCAGAATGGGCAAGGATTGGCTCCGCTCTGTGATGACCATGAGCTTTACGTCCTACATGAGTACTACCTAAATCCCGCTCGACAAATCACACGATCAGGCACGTAGCCCAAGATAAGTAAGCAGCAAACACTAAAAAAAGGAATCAAAAAATTGCAAAAAACTATAACAATATTCTAAATCAGTGGCCAAAAAGCAAAAGAAATATTTTGTATTGGAACACGAACCTCCACCTTGCTTGGCTGTTTGTCAGCCTTGGAAGGGTGGAATCCTAACCATTGGACCACAGAAGCTTTTATTGAACAGTTGTATGGCCGCCCTTGTGTTTTTAAATTGAACCTTTGGGGTGGTCTCTTGTTAATGGTTATTTTTTGATATGGATTACAAGATATATGGGAATACTTATCGATCTCCTCTGTAGTGACTTGTTAGGTTCCATATAGGGTGCAGGAATTGAAGTGCGCGATAAGTCTTTTCTGTAACTTAAGAAATCGCTTGATAGCCTTGCGCTGTGAGCTTCTGCGTAACTAGATCTAGCATCTATTCCCGCTAGATACCGAGTATTATCGCTGTTCATGTCATTTTTGTCTGCTATGTTCAAGTTAGGTCGCTGCTATCAAACCCCGAAATTATCCAGAATGGATAATAAAATGCAATGCACCCAAGGTAACCTCAGCCATTCTTCCAATCCCGGTTCTCAACCCCCACGGCCCGTTCCCATCGTCCCCCTCAACCCTCACCACCCAGGCACTCTCCCGCTCCAATTCCCCAGCGTCCACCCTAAGATCAACCCCCCAACCCCATCATAAATCCCCAAACCAATCAAAGCCTTCCTATCCTTCTGATTCAACCTCGACTTCCCAGCTCCCATAACGCTATCAAGCAAAAGCCTACATCCCATAATGCAGCTCAAAATTACCCTTATCGGCACACTAGCGTGGAGGAACTGGTTCTCCTCGATAGGCATGTATGCGGTGAAAAGATAACAAATACCAATCGCAGCGGTTGCCACGCCGAGCATGGGCGAAGAAGGGGGATCAGCGGCAGGCGTACCGTTCTTTTGAGGATTCTTAGTCTTGTTGGTGCGGGGTGAGCCCGGAGAGGAGAATGTGGTATAGAGACCTAGAATACTTAGGCCGACAGAGTGGATTAGGATGGGGAGAGGTAGGTTGATAGTTGGGAAAAAGGGGGCGCTGGTGGAAGACATGTTTTGCTTTGGTGAACGAGCCTGTCGTCGGTGCTGTTTGCTCTGTTCAGGATATTTGGAGGCTTCTCGTGGACTGGTTGTATAGGAAATAAAAGCAATATATAAATGGGATAGCTTGATGGGGGGTTGATGGAATGGAACGCCTTACGTCCGTACGAACGGAACAAGAAGTTCAGCTGAAGTCGAACTGAGTCACATGACCAACAGGGTTTCATGTTAGGTTCGTCTGAAAGCCAGGAAGGGTAGATTTAGCGTTGATACTCCATAGATGCATTTATGTTTAAGAGGCAGCTCTTTACCGTAGAAGAGTGCGAGCATGTGGCTTAATGAAGCGGAGCTTCTAGAATACTATCACGTGATGGTATTTCATCCCAGTCTCCAGGTTGGCGAGGAACGGCTGCAGGGGGGCCGATAGCAGGCATGCAGTTCCCGGTTTCTCAGCAACATCACGGTTGGCGTGGCAGAGGCATACCTTATCTATCAAACAGCCCCAACCGATTTCTGCACATTGTCATGGCAAGGAGATCTCGCAATCGATTACGACCTCGGTACGTAACGCCATGGGCAAGACATGAGCACTTTTACTGGGCCTTTCCCCGCAGATCATATCAACCGGGATTCTCTTCCTGTGGGTGTTCAACTTTAGTCCTCCTCCTCCTCACGAGTCCAGTAGTACGAGGCAGTTGAGAATCATCGCGATGGCACACCCACCACCAGTTCACCGTTTCGTGTGGCAGCCAAGCTCCGTGCCTCATGCAGCAACAGCTCACGTCGCGGCTATGCAGGTTGGGCGCCGCGACGAGCATGGATTGGGATAAGACGTCGCTGCTGGTTGGGACCTCGGAGGCCTGGGACTCCCCTTGGCAGTCGTAATCAAGGTGAATCCTTCGCCATGGCTGCTAGAGCAGCATCAGGGCATGAGGGGGGTGTTCGTATGATATTGGTACAGTATGGTCACACTGTCACCCCGTCATATATGAGCGCTATATGAGAGCTATACGCAGGTACTGTACATGTACCTACCTGCCTACCTGCCTAGCTGCCTAGCTGCCTAGCTCCGCAGCATAGCCCTGAAAGTGAGCTACGGAGCTACAAAGCTACGGAGCTGTTATTTTGCTTTGATCCATATCTTCCCACTTAGGGACCAGGGTATTCTAGAGCCCCCAAATGGATGGACGGGGAATAATCCGGATTTCGGGGGGGGGGGTTTTAAGGTCTGACCTCGAATCGGAACGCAGCCCTTTGCGATAAATAACTCAGTCAAGCTGATTAGCGGGCCTCGGAGGATAAAGCAGCGCCAGCAATTGGGGAGCGCTGACCTGGCGATCATCCATGACCTAGCACCCGCCATCAGGAAGTTTCATCGGCCACAGGCAGAAAGGCGGAGGGAGGAGATCTGGAAACCTCCGTCTCCAACGCTGCTGGGTTTCGGAGAGACAACAAGGCTTGTCTTATCCTCCTCTCGCTGCCGCCCGCCCGCCCGCCAGAATAATGGTGGGACACTTACTCTTAGTACTACGGAGTAGAAGCTCTCGAAGGCTCGAAGCCCTTGTCCTCAATTCCAGACACAACACAGACACACCTGCCGTACTCGTGCTCGTTGGAGTCGTGGTGTGCAGTCAGTCGCCAATAATAACCCACTACGAGGTTGACTGAGAGAGTCTGAGGCCCGGGTCAGCCCAGGAACCCCCAGCGACCAGCCGTTAGGGCTTCCTCGTGTGTCGATAGTACTGGGCCAATCATGGGACCGAGCAGCTCAGCTTTTCGGCAGCTACTTTATAGCAGGATGCAGTATGCCGTCCCGGTTCCATATCAAACCCAAATGCAATCGGAGTCCCAACAAATATATTGTTCGTTTCGGAGAATATCGACAATGCTGCCAGGGACTTCGAAGGCGTCTTTGGTTCTTGAGTGTTGCACTGGTATGTACTCCGTGACAAACAGCCCTTATGCCGTGTTCGCGGTATTGTGGTCTGCTTATCCCGATCTAGTCCACGGCGGGAGTATTTCGTGTTCGGCGCTTTGTGTCTTGCGCATCCCAATTGTAGCAGATCACATCCCCATCCCATCACATCACATCACATTGCCTCTGGAATCTGGATGCCTGCTGTCACTTTTCTCGCCACGTGCCTGAGCCTCAATCCCCAAGATCAACAAGACGGCCTATCTTCTAGCGGGCTATTGAGCTCCATGGGTCTGAACTGGCTGACGAAACGGCCATCCTAATTCTGAGACGCTTGCCTAGTCCTGCAATTCAAGGTTTAGGTCCCGGCAGTATCCAATTGACTGCCGGCGCATAGACAGATCACAAAGCATAACTATTCTTTGTCTTGTGTTTCGCTGCTTTATCGCTGGCCTTGGCCCTTGTGCAACATATGGAGGGGGATAGGTCACCACCACCATCACAATCGCTAGCGGAAAAGCATTCGTTGGGATTTCCTTTTTATCCAAGGAGCAACATCCGGGTTCTCATGGGCAACCTGATTTCGGTATCCAACCGTCCTGCTTATCGCCGAGCTATCGAAATATCGATCGCGATCTTCCCTAAGATATTGGTGACAACAGTGCTCGGTACGAAGGAATAAGACGAAGTGAGTGGAATTTCGCCAGGTCGGGCACCGCCTCTTATGTCGGCGGCGGATCCCCCCGAAAGCCTTCCCAGCCTGTGCCGAGATGTGGGCTTCTCGAATACCTGCCGTATACAAAAAAGGTTCCGGAGGGACCCTGATCCCGAGTCCCGAAAGACCAGGTCATCGGACCACTTCCATTCCATCCTTGGCCTTGCCCAGAGGACGATGGTACGGAGTCGAGGAGATAGATACACGGTATACGAACAGCTAGGCCCAATCGCATTTCCTGCTGGGACGGGAATGCCCCAGGTCTCGCCCGGTTTCTGGCTCCAGTACGAGACGGTAGGACAGAACCAACGAGGGATATCCTCGAAAGGATTTCTTTCTGCCACCAATCATATGTGTATAGGGCTATCGACTTCCCCAACAGCCGATGGCCATAACGGGAGGCCCATCTTGTGGGTGGATGGTGGATGGGGGATGGATGGATGCGTTCGAGCCGCTTGGTGACTGGCTCGAGACGTGTACACCCACCGTCACTTCACTCACTCATATGCTGGACTGTCTCCGAGCTACGACGTCGTCGCCTCCTCGTACTTTGGTAGAGATTAATTGCGGCATCAAACAAACCCCTCCCCCGCCCTCCCTTCCCTCCCCGACCTGGATGCATGACCCGTTTGAGGCATGGACCACGTATGCCCGCGACGCTACTTGGGACAGCGCTGGGCACACAGAGCGGCCTGTCTGGGATACGAAGGCAGGAAGTAAGGTAGGTGAGGTCGCGAGGTACGGCACGAATATCGCGAAGCAGACGTAGATGTCGGCAGGCCCTGCTACTTGGTGGGTGGGTAGGTAGGTAGGTAGGTAGGTGTAAGCCGCCGCCGGGATCTCGACGCACTCTCCAGTAGTAGCAGCAGCAGCAGCAGCAATAGCAATAGCAATAGCAGTACTAGCAGCAGCAAGCTCCCCTTTCCCCTCCCCTCCCCATATCCATGTTGATGCGTGCCGCGGATGCAGCTCTGCACTGTACTGTACCGTGCTATACTGTACAGAAGTGTACACATGCCTCCTCGTCCCCTAGAGCAGCCGACGGGGTACTACCACCCCGCTGCGGTTTCTTCAGTGGGCTTCAGTAAGGTACGGGCACTGGACTTAGTCAGTCGGCGGCGTCTGACGCCGCGACCCTCTCGAAGGCCCCGTCATGGCCGGGCGGGGATGGACCATGGATGTTAGGGCTATATGTATGTAGAGTATGTAGCGTATGTAGCGTATCTGCAGCTACCGAGCTGCACTACTACGTCGTCCTGTTCGAATAGCCTCGTTTCTATAGCTCCCTCCATGCCTTGGGCTGCACGTAGCGTCGCACCCACTGGCTGCTGGGCTGCTGGACGGTGCTAGCTAAGGTACAGCGCGCGCACGCTCTCGCGGTCGAGGGCCGCTACTGCAGATGCCATGCCCGTACAGTACCAAGGACCCAAGGTTCGGCGAGTGGCCGCCCATGAATCAGAGCTGCGAAAACACTCCGAAGCCCCCAGAGACAGAGACAGCGACAGCGACAGCGCCAGAGACACTGAGAGCCTGGGCCCCCGTCCCCCATCCCCGTCCCAGCACCCGGCACCCAGCACCCAGCAGATATCCCCC